GGGAATAGGGAGCGTAAGGGTTAGGGATGCTGCTGCTGCTGCTGCTGCTGCTGCTGCTGTTGTTGTTGTTGTTGTTGTTGTTGTTGGTGGTGGTGGTGGTTGAGGTTGTGGTTGTGTTGGTGGTGGTGGTGTTGTAGGGGCGAGGTTGGTGATGTTGAGGCTGATGATGGAGTTGGAGTCGCTGTTGGTGGTGTTGGCGCTGGCTGAGGCTATCCTCGCTGGGTTGCCGCCGGACTTGCGACATGGCTGCAGAATAATAATAATGAATTGGAGACGGAATACGGATAAAGTAATAATAGTAGTAAGTTAGTTAATCATAGGCTGCAGCAACCCCCCAGACAAGCGGCGGTTATTTAGCTGGGAATTAGGTTCTTGCAACCCGAATAGTTAATAATGGTTAATGCTGTCTGAATATTGATATTTTCCACACTCACTCACTCCCCCCATTATATCAGGAAGATAGGCCCCAAAACTCCAACCAATCTTCAATATTCAAATTCGCTGCTCCTTGAGCCCCAATTCTTAGTTCCCTGAAACTATGAACCGCCAACAGTTCAACAACACTTCCAACAAATCCCCCCCAAACTTCCTTGCCGGTCTTTTGTTTGATATCACCACGTCAAGCCTCCCGAGTTGGGCAACCAGAGCGATCGAACGGACGGAAATGACAGGAGGAATAGCTCACCGGACTACTGCTGCTGAGCTGCTGGGCTGCTGGGTTGCTGGATATCTGGAAACCTGGCAATTGGCAGGACAGCGGTTGTGTATAAACCATGAGAGATGAGAGGGACAAAAAAAGAATAAGAATTAAGAGAGTAGAAGACAATGAAAAAGTTGAGAAGACAACCGTCCAGCAGAAAAGCTTCGCTTTTTTTCCTTTTCCCTCCAGGCACAATGAATTACGAGCAGGAAGATCCTTTCTTTCTGTCTTTTTTTTTTTTTTTTTGCTCACTGCGTATCTTTCGTTTTAACTACTGGTGCTATCTGGTGCTGATCAATTGCCTAACTCACAGCCATAACAAACAAATGATAATCCGTCACTCCTCAACTCTGTCCTCTTTCTCTCGTCCTGATCAAAGGGACCTTCTGCCAATGATACATTATTATGCCTGGCCGGAAGAGTCGTTAACTAGCTACATACAAGAAGAACCTGCCATGATCATGCAGAAGCCTCGTCAAAGTAGAACGAACACAACAACTATCATATATATCAACACTGCCATGGATATCTTACAATTTCTACATATGCTGTGAAACAATTCAGTCATCTCTGACACATTCGATGCTACAGGAGATTCTGACTTCGGCATCGCTGTCCGCTATTAACTAATGTCCAAAGCTCCCTGGATAGCAGCTATATATAGATATGGAGAGCTCGGTGGCAGTTGACACAACTCGTTTCAGAACAGCTTTTTTTTTTTTTTAAACACCCATCCGAAAATAAGATCGAGCGATGATCAAAGCTGACAAGCTATGTATGTGAAAAGAGAGGAAAAAAGAAGGGGAATAATGGAGACATTTGAACACACAGTTGGATTCTTATCAGCTTCTCCGTATGGAGAATAGTATGGAGTACTACGTAGTAGTTAACTAGTTAATCGGGGCGCAATATTTATCTCGAACAACCACCCTGCAGGCGACGGAGCTGCAACTATTATTTCTGCAGGCAAAACTCCTGACTCCTGACGACACGACATGCCAGTGAGTGGGTGAAATAAATCATTTCATCCTTTATCTTCTTCACCATGATTCATCAACTGTGATCCTCCTAAGATGTAACTACAAGACCTAAATATAGGCTGTACACACGAACCGAACTCACTCACAATAATGTCTCTCCTGTCCTTAGGAAGAATAAGTTAGGCCACCAAAGCTATTACACCGCTGTCTAGGCTCTCGCTTCTCCTTTGAGTCTAGACAGCGGCGCTGGCACCGTGGATCCAAGCTCGCGTAGTGAAATTATATGCTGCGTTCTGGCGTCTCTAGCGCCGTTGATTTTTGATTTTTGATTTTTTTTTTTTGGGGGGGGGCCGGGAAAAGGGGAGACAAGGGGAGACAAGGGGAGACATATCATGAAGAGAGAACTCACTCTGTAATGTGGGATGGGATAATAGAAATAATCATGGATCAGTTTGTTTATGCAGGTCCAGGAGTTAATGAAAAAGCTCAGGCTTATTACTTTTTTTCCAATTGAATAGTAACAAATGCATGCAGGGAACTTCCATGCAAATTCCTCGACACATGCAAGTAATAATAGTTACAGGTTATTTTGCAGAGAGTTTCCCCGTAGTTAATCAGCCTGAAGGTTCCCAATCATCCAGGCCATGTTCTCCCCACCCTGCTCTTCGCATTCTCTCCCTCTCTTCCCCCCGGTGTGTTATGCAAGGTACCGCCTTAGCCCCAATACTCCCGGGCCTGGATATCCCTGGAGGCCCCAGAATGGCCCCTCGGTGGGTGATGGATGAAACGAAGACCGACCCATCCCCATGATGATGATGGCGTATTAAAAGGGGGAAAAGAAGGGGCGGCGCCAAAGGAGATGAGGGTCTAGAGAGATTCAACGAGTTAGATTCCTCTATTTCTTACCTCTTCTGGTGCTCCATTTGCGTATATATCCCATACTTCGTACTCTATAAACACCTCCCCCTAATATTTTAGTGGCATGGCATGCTAACCTAACCATCATTCCGGGGGGGGGAGTGTCTTCAAATATCCCCTTGCAGCATACAGAATAGGCTTTCTGATGATGCACTTTGAGAGATGGTTAGGAATTCCTGGGACTCTATAACAGAGGAGCAGTTACAGAAGCTTATAGCAGAGATACCTTGCTCACTCTCAGACAGTTATAGAGTCAGGGGGTGGGCTATATAAGATATTACTAATATTATGATTGATTCCATGATGATAAACACTTTCGAACAAAAGAACCCATAATGATGATTAGTATTGCCACTAATAAAATATTAGAGAGGCCTGTCTCTAATGAAAATATGATTTCGTGCCAATTCTTCACCTCTTGAATGTGTCATGCACAGACAGAATGGTTACATTCATCACATGGAATAGTATTGTATAGTTACTCTGCTGCATAGTTACAGGAAACAACAAAAGCAACTGGTATTTTGAAACAAGTAGTTATCAGACACTTTAATTACCACTTCTTCACATCACCATATGTCTATCACCATATGTCTATCAGTATAGTTAGTGAGTTGTCATATTATGTTATAAACTTCCTTGCTCTGTACAGGATTCCTCCTATACAAATTTTGTTGAAGTTATTTGATGAATTTAATATAAGATTCCCAACATATTATCCTACATAACGCACATGGCCTAAAATGGATAATTTAAACTCATGAAAGCCAATTATTGTTTGTATTTATATTTTGATTTGGAGATTCTATTTCCAAAGATGGCTACAATATTCTCATCGCATGCGTACTCCTCAGTTAAGACAATCGCCTAACTTCCCTTTGCGTAGGTTAAGGTCAAGGGCAATGGCAATGGCAATGGCAATGGCAATGGCAAGGATGCACCACATTCCATCATTCATACGTCCCTCTGCAACTCCCTATCATCAAACTCCAGGTCTTTCATCGCATCATCGACATTTACTTCAACACCAACATTGATGACAGGAGGTGAGACACCCTTGAATATAGCTGCCCATTCCGCGGACAAATGTCCGTTTTCAGGGCCTCATTACCAGCCGAACCCCCAACAGCAAGCCCCTTGTCTGGTGGCGATCCTAAAGCATTATCGCTGAGATCATCAAAATCAAGGTCAAAGCCTTGCATGGCATCTGGGAACATCTGGTCCAGGTCCAAATCCATTGAGATGAGTGGCACTGATGAGAAGTCTGGGAGAACTGAAGGTACGGAATTTCCGGCGGTTGCAGGAAATGAGTTGGGTGACGAAGTTTCTGGAGTGGTTGGAGTGATCGCTTGCAATTGGCTATATGTCAACGCTGATAATGGTCATGGTGGAGATCGTGTATCGGATTCTAGCGGTGCCTCTACGCGGTGCTGATGTTGGTTATCAGGGGATGCTGATGGCGACGAAGTCTCATCTCCTTCTTTCCCAAAAGCCCAGGGGCTCAACCACGAAAGTTCATGCAGCGTCATCCGACTGCTGCTATGCTTCTCATACCATACCACGTTTTCAGCTTTTTGAAAACCATCGTCAGTCTCGCTGCAGGCCATAGTTCGCCCCATCCCGCGAACATCTGAATCAGCGCTTCCAACCACTCGGAGACTTGAAGGTTGCAGGCGGCGTGTTGTTTCGTATCATCCGTTTGTTTTTGCTCTATGGCGGCGAAATGGAGCTTTATGAGCATGATTGCCATGTAGATCGTTCGGATGAAATACACTGTTGGCATGGCACGGATGGCGGACATGTCTAGTGAATGGATACTACGGAGTAGATGATGGAGTGAGTCGACGCATGTAGAAAAGACTGGTGATATTTTCTGCGATGGTTGTTCGTCGAGAGAAGAATGGGAACGTCGCGAGGCCAAGGTCATGGTACTTCTCTGAGTACACAGATTTGCAGAATGCCTCGAGAAATTGAGAATTTCTGGGAGTGGAGTTCTTATATTACTATCATGCGGCTCTGGCCTTTCTTCGCCGCCTGTGCCGTCGGGATGCAAAGTCTGTCTGTCCTTTGACATCTAACACATGGCAATCCCGGGGATGGCTGGTTACAGCGAACTTTACATGTCCCCATTGGGATGTTGCCTCGAGGATATTGCCTGTTCGTTCTGTGAAGGTCCAATGGCCGCATCTCGAGATGGAGAAACGCCGTGAGCTGCCACATCTTGTGGTGCCGCATTGCCTGTCTTAGCCATATTATCGCAAGCTATATACTCCTGTAGTTCAAGGAGAGAAAGCCGACGTCGTCCTTAGGCGTCAAAGAGTAAAATGGTTTACACTCGACTATTGGCTAGGCGTCTGATAGTTATGGATCAGAGAGCTTAACTAAGCCCTTGTAAACCAGGACAGAGGATTGGAGGGCGGATGGAGCAACATACACGGAAACATCATCCTGTCAACTCACTACTAGCAAGTCTAACCACCATTTAAATAGTTAATTTACGGGGTATGAAGCTGAGAATTGATTTTGATGAGCAAATTGATGAAAAGATATGCGGCTGTGGACGTCCAAAATCTCGAGTAAGTCAACATTTAACGTTACCTACCTAGTGACTCGCCGAAGACCATGTGGCTAAATAAAATTGACTAGATGCTACGAGTCCCAGGTGCAGGTTCCGCATATTTGATTCAAACATTCATGGCTTAAGTTGAAATCTCATATTAAAATGACCACCACGAATCGAATAACAAGAAGACGACAGTCAATCTCTGGTAGAAGAATGGCAATAGCACATCTAGGGAAAATCAGAATGAAAATAGACCACAAATTTCTTAAAAGCTGTTGAAGTGGAGCACCACAAGCTAATCAATATGAATAGAACAAAATCGAATCTATAGATCGACTTGTTTCAAATCAGAAACAGATAACACAAAGATTTTAGGCCCTCCGGAGCCCTTCCTTCTCTCTTTACCATTCCTTCTTCCCCTCCATCCCAGCTACCCTTGTAACCAGGAACAATATCACCGTGTCTCATCTGATCGTGTCAGGGGGATAAAAACGTCTGGACGTGAAATGCCATATCGTAATGCAGGAATTCCCAAAACATTAGAAAGAGGGAAAGAGAGAAGTAGTCAAAGGGGAAGGAAAATTAATACATGTGTTTTTTGGGGGGCCAATTAGGGATAGAGTCGCAACCGAAAAAAATGTAAACAGAGAGATCATTAGGGTGGTTATTGCAGCGGGGTAAGCATTGCAAGTTTCCCCGTTCGACTTTTTCTTGTCATTAAAAAACATTTGTCCAAAAAGGACAGGCATGAGTTAGGCTGAATAAGGATGGAAAATTGGTCAATCGTTCGTAGAAGTAAGGAAATTAGAGAAATTAAAATAAGGAAATAAGGAACATAGAGAGGGAGGGCAGTGAAGGCTGAATATTGATCCCATTTCCACCTCCCGAACCATGACCCAAATATATTTTTCTTTTGGTATAGGGCGCGTTTCCCGGTTGGGTTCTGATCCCTCATTTACCTTACGATTTTGCTTTCCCAAAGGCTAGCAGAATTCATGGTATACCTGGTAGGCACTCTATTAGCTGCGGGATACTTGGCAGGTTTGGTGTATTGCTGGCGAGGCGAGGGATGGAATTTACCATGTAGATAGTGAGCTGCAGCTAATAATCGCCATGGGTGTCGTACCCCTTGTAGCCGTCGTCCTTTTCGTCCTTTTCGTCCTTTTCGTCCTTTTCGTCCTTTCCATCTTTTCCATCTTTTCCATCTTTTCCATCGTTTCCATCGTTTCCATAGTTTCCATCGCCCTTCTTTCCGTCATCGTACTTCTTTGGTTCATCACACTTGCCGGTGACGGTGTGGACCTTAGCGATGGTGGTCGGCACAGGCACGGGCTTCCCTGGCACGGTGATGGTATGGAAATGCGTGACGGGCTTCTCTTTGATGGCCGTCTTGGTAACAATGACCTCCTTGACAGCAGTAATAGTCACAGCCTTAGTTTGGACAACAGTCACCGGCTTGTAGTCGGTTTTAGTTACGGGCTTGGGATAGTCGGTTATCGTCATGGTCTTCCAGTGGGTGACGGGATGGTTCACAGTGATGAACTTGGTGACCTCTTTGAACTCGGTGACAGGTTTGAATGCCGTCTTATACTCGATCTTATACTCGGTCACTGTGACAGTTTTGGGCTCTTTTTCCCGGTAGTGGTCACCCCCGGGAATGGGATTCGCAGCAGCAAGGCTAAATGGACATCAGAAACTTGGAACGTCATTATGACGGAAAATGGGGGAATTAAAAATTACATACCCAGCGCCTAGGATAGCGAATTGAAAAATCTGATTGATGCAAACCATCTTGAATGCCTGAGTATGAGTATATCAGAAAGTATACGGTGAGTATTGAAGTAAAGGCAATAATCACAAAAATATGTTTTGCTTGTTTGATATGTGATCAGATAGATGATTGAACCCGGTGGTGACTTGAAGAAAAGAGGGCCAACAGGGAGGTTGTGCTGCCCTTTATATAGAGACGGCCGCAGTTAAGGTGTGACCCTAGAAAGACTAGGCATGACGATGCACCCAGCATCTGGGCTCAACTTGCGGTAATAGCTGCTGAGAAACGCGACTATCCGATCCTGATGTCAACTAAATCTAATTTCTGTGACACGTAGAGAGAGCACTGTGTTCAGGTTCTGAATTGCGTTGATCATAGTTGGATGACAATGTGGATATTGGCTGGTACAATTATCTCGTTTTTAAGTCTATGATTCTTAGAAAACCATTTCGTATGATATGATTCTCAATAATAAACCAACCAAGGTGTACCAAGAGTATGGACCTGGACTCTCGGAAGAAAGTAATAGCCGATCCCACTTATAGTGTGTAAAAGGGTTTGGTTAGTCAGTCCTGAATGTATGTACTTGGAAGACGCTGGGAATGTTAGGGGAGTATCTTAAAATGTTCAATTGGATAACTCAGAGATGGTGGTACATGTTGTAGTCGTCAACTTCCTTCTGGTAAAGTCCTTGCTGGCCTCCTGCTACGTGGGGTAGCAGGTAGATGTGCTGCTATCTACAGCACTCTGAGCACAAGTCTTATGCCTATAAAACACCAATGGCAGGGTTTTAAAACTGGCGAACGAGGCGAAATGACCATTCCTTCAAAATATCCTTCATGTGGCTTCAAGCTATTGGGAGATGGCATATCTCCGCCAGATCAAAAGCGGAGAAGAGAGACACTGACACATCGTAAATGTGGAGGGAGAACGGCTAGATCTCGTTGATCCCCAGCTCGAGAGCTGCGATTCTTCCCCACACAAAAACAAGAAACTCACTGTCCATGGAAAGATATCACTGCTCAGTGCTACCTATCAAGAACTCAGCACACAAACTTGGAGCCTCGAGCAATGTGAGAAGCACATGTACATGTACATGCACAATAATCATCCAATATTTGCAACGGCACCAGCCCTGTAGAGCGCGAGGGCCAGGAAACTCGTCGTATGGCATGAAAATCATAATAGTTGGGGACAAATAACCACCAAGATCCAACGCGATGGGTGGATCTGGAAGCACCCGACTATGTAAAAACTGAGTAACGCAGGAAGCCATGTCGACGTAAATCCTGTCACAAGGCCTCTCGATCACCGTTCATAAGGTCGATGCTAGTGATCAACGCCTCCTGATAGATGTGTACGGTAAAATCTTTCATGTTAAGCTATTCCCGGACACTATAATTGAGACCATAGAGTCCACGAATCGATATGGACTCGATGAGGTTACAGGAAGTGGTAGGTGGTTACAAATGTCACAAGAAACCACATATGGGGTAAGTTGTCAGCGGTGAGGTGTAACACAGATCGCTCGAAGACTATCTTGTTAGCTATGATGAAAATGGCCCATATAGAGAACAAAAAAGAGATCAACATCGAATGTCTTTGATATTGAAGACTCATACGGAGGATGAAGGTGGTTAAGTCCAGACAGACTCCGGAGAGGACGCTAGCAAATAAATAGGCTGACTAAGACTTTCCAGATCAAGCCCTAGTTAACTCAAACCACCAACCCCTTGCATGCGTCAGACAGTCTTATAGCTTGAAATTAAGAACAGCTTTCTATATTATATGGTATTATACATTTACAATGCAAGGGGGTTTGGATGAATTAACGTATCCTTGTCTCTGGGCACAACTGGAAGCATCTTCCCGAACAACTTCCACCATTCCAAACCGTAAACATTATTAACTGAACTCAGGGGACTGCTTTTTACAATCCGAATCCAAACCCAGAGAAATAGTACAATGTTTCAATATATACCTGGATTCTACTTCTTCGGGATTATGGTGATTGGCCGCTCTATATCCGGGAATGTGTCCGCAAATATCACTGCTGCTCAACGGTGCATGTCTAGAGCTAAAGCTCTTGCATAAATTTGAAATCAGACCGCCCTTGGGTAATAGGTTCACAATCCTGTGTTTCCGCTCAAACTGCTGTCAGTGTTGAAGTTCACAGCTACAGATAACCTGGGGATGTTGGTGATCCTCTTACAGCATGTCACCCCACAGTTCTGTGATGTGCTCCGGTGAGCTATCTGAAATCAGGAAACCCGTTGCGCGTCGAGCGCGTTTAGCAGCTACATTGGAGCCCTTCAGTTGCCTTACGAGGGAAAACCATAAAATCGCTTTTTGGGGTGATAGCTGTTGAGATTTGGGGTCAAGGCGATTTCCGGCATAATGAAGCTCCAAAGTAACTGGTAGGAGGAATCTATGAAAATTCCATCCTCAAAGAAAGGAGGATAAAGCAAAACATGATAGAACATGTGCGGACAACCATAACATATTGCTTTCTCCTATTTGATAAAATCTGTTCTATTCGCAACGCTGACTTTCTCTGATCCCTTGCTCTCTATGCAATATATCGGCAGACTCAAAATCCTGCGTTCCATAGCCAGCAGGACAAGCTCAATTCGACTCCTCAGGTCTTTTCGTCCTAGGGCTTTATATTGCCGTTACCCAGAACAACATGCATGACGTGACCACAAGCAAAACATAGAACCGAAAATTCAACAGTCTGTCTGGCCCAGGTGGAGAGAGCTTGAAGTAGAGGAAGAAAGTAATGATCTAGATACTCGCCTATAAAAGTCCATCCATGACCGAAGGCATATAATCAAACGGTCGTGACTAGGGCGGGAGCTTCGGAGACGTTGTGTCCGCGGGCGTATGTGTCTGCACGCTGAATATATGACATGTACATGTAATGTACACGAGCGGGAGCATAGACCAGAGAGGTCCCGCCGGTTCCACCACCTTACTTGCAAGTTTTATTGCCTCCCGAGTTCAACAGTAGTGAGAGCAAAAGAAGACACACCATGTAAAGGCAATTGATAATAAAACAGTATTATGTTACTATATGCAATGGATATGTACTTCTTCCCTTTTCCCTCTCCCTTCTGACTACCCGCCTTGAACGTGAGTGGTTGGAGCTGTCGGTACCAACATGGACCAACAAAAAGGTGAAAATAAAGATGAAATTGGGGATTAATTTCCATTTTAGCCCAACATGGGTTGTAGATCTTAGACGGGCTTTAGTTTTGCTCGCTGACAAGAAACAAGAAATGCCACAGGCGGGATTGGGATTGTTGCAAGCAAAAAAAAAAAAAAAAAAAAAAAAAAAAAAAAAAAAAAAAGAGAGAGAGAGAGAAGTAAAGGGAAAACAACAGCATTAAATAGAGACAGGGAGACAGAGATGGCAGGTAGCAGTATATGTATACAGAGCAGTCTAGAGTGGAGGATGTGATGTACGAGAATCGGAAAATGAGAATGGAAATAATACAAATATCAGGAACTGAAAGCAAACAAAACACTTGTAATGTCGGTGCGGTTGATAAAAAAACCGAGGATAGAAACATATTAGTTTTGTAATAAGACCGGTGTGGATAAAAGGAAGAGAAAAAAACCTGTCGCAGCCACCACTGCAACATGAACAGAAAGAAATAACGAGAATGTAGACCAGGTTAACTTTTTAAATCACGAACACCGCCAATTCCTCCTATACATTGGGAAATGGGAAAAAGAAAAGAACAGAAAGATAGGAAAGGATATAATTGCAACAAGGGAATCTCTCCTCTGTCCCCCAGTAGAACTCCAAGAAACAGAACAAAAAGCAAAACACCCCAGACGTTAAAGGAACATATATATATACATACTTGGTAAAGCTGTCTGTTGGTGGCTGATGGGTGGTAGTTTATCACTTAGAAAATTATGCAATATTGCCTGCCATGCCCATGAAGATCGCCTGGGCAGCAAGTTGTAGAGACCAAAGCCCTACTTTCTTAAACCGCCGTTTCCGAGCCTGTTCATCAACGACATCTTGTGCGAAAGCTTCGTATGTCTGAGCGAGGAAAGGGGGAAACAAGTTAGTCATACCAAAATGATGTCACATCAAACTAAAGCAAAAGAAGGAGACAGTGAAGAAGAATAAAACTCACTTCAGCCGATAAATCGTCCATCAAACCACTATCGTAAATCGTCCAACTACCATCAAAATCGCTAACACGCTTCACAAGTCGACACTGGATAGGGATAAACGTGCGCTTGGAATTCATGTACGCGACGATTGGCCGGATGAGCGCGTTGTTAACGTATGAAAGATCCTTGGTGAAGATGGGAACAACAGCTCGAACGTTATTAAGGTGGATACGGAGATCGGTGACGACAAATCGCTTATCTTCTTCCACGGCCTCTGGAGAAACTGCAACAGCATCGTCCACGCCGCCACTCTCGCCCTGGGGAACTGCAATTGCACCACGGGACGTAGAACCATTAGGATGTGGTTGGTAGTGGTTCGATGTAACGGTCGCTTCCAGGCGGTCGTAAAAGTCTGACATCACCTTTGCCAGGCTCTCATCGTTGTCGGCTGGGAACATGATGTCGGCTACGATATCGACATTACCCTCACGGATCCACGAGAACGGGCCTTCAACGCCACGATTCAGGTGATCGATATTAAGTCCATCAATACGGATTCGACTATGTTTTTTCCACGGGCTTGCCTCGCCATTTTCCTCTCTGCCATCGTTCAACAGTGCGCCCGTATAGGAATGTGTTTGCCGGGGATGGATCGTGAATATAGAATTGTCAAAGGACCCAGACATCGTATTAGCGGACATGAAATCGTAAAAGAGCCACTGGCGCCTGAGCTGCGGCAGGTCACAGGAGAAAATAGAGACAGAGAACGGCCGGAAATTATCCGGCTGGTAGACTGTAACCAGGAGGTCCTGCATTTTAAATGAGTTGATCTCGAAGTCGCCTGGGTTGTGCTCGTGTCGGTATGACTTGGGGTCGAGATATCCCTCAGGCCACCACACGTGCGTCCTGTCGACGACGCCTCGAACACCAATCACCTCGACATCTCGTAGGAGGCCTTTGCCATTGAACCATTTGGTAAACGATAGAGTGACGTTGACCGTGTTTATCGATACATCAAACTGGGTATAGTTCGTATCTTCCTCCTCCTCCACGTCCGATAGCTTATCCCTTAGCGCTGCAGCTGCAGCAGTTTCAGCTGCGGTTTTAGATGAACCTTTGCTCACGTTTCCAGCACCTTGGCCAGGGCGTCTTGAAACGAACACGTTTTTGAACGTGATAACGCCATCTTTCCATCTGGGTACGATGGCAGATTCGAAAACAACGGTGAGTCCCGACGATTTGGTCAAATAGTTGCCAATCCATCTGGCCAAGGTTTCTGATCCCAACAGTCAGTGTGACTATTATTACACAAACAAAAATTCAGGGATGAAGCAAAAAATGGAACAGAACCAACCTTGAGCGAAAACCGTATTAATGGCCAATATAAGCAAGGAAAAAAACGTCGTGGTTCCCAGAATAATCCACAGTACATGGCCAAGAAGAATCCAAGAAAAGAAAGCACCAATATCATCTATATTGAAGGGCCGGATGCTCCGTATAGAGAACCACTTAAAGCGCACTTTTAGCCTCGACCAAAACCCCGTCGCAGCGGCCAGTAATTCCTCCTTAGTTGGTCGATGGGGCAATCGGTCGGTGAAATGGTTGGTCGTTGTAGAACTACCCCCAGCGAGCGCCTTTCCATAGACACTCTTGCCGCTCGAGTGTGACGACAATAGCGCGGGTTCAGACGTCAACTTAGACTCGGATTCAAAGGGTTTCACAAGTGGCCGATTAGAGGTCTCAGTTTCATCGGATGGCAGCGTCGCCGGGCGCTGTGTGGTATTGATGGTTTGAGAGGGAGTGGAGCTGGTGGACGGTTGCACATCATCATTTCCCTTCGAGGACATATGGATACTTCTTCTCCAAGCACCTCTAGCCAAACTCTCTAGTCTGCGTCTATCCACGTACCCCGCGCTTCCGTGATGACATATTATTATCTTTTCCGAAGAGGAGATAGCACATGACGCGCCGGATTCTACCGCATTGGACGGTGGTGATGTACCCAGGACCAGGAAGCCGCCGGATGCGAAGCGTCGAGTGATCTGCTTAGCATTTTTAGGAGAGGAGTATGGAAACGTCCTTGACCAATTTCCTCGAAACAAGCCCTGGACGGCATTTGATGGTCTTGCCGCGCCAGTAATAAAAGCTGACCAGGCAGAGGCGGAGGATTGCTCTGCGTGGAAGATGAGGGGATGTGCTCGTTTGCATATGTTCGCGTACAGTCGTCGTCCTATGTGGCCGGACATAATTTTCGGGTCATCCTGGAACACTCTTTCACTATCGGAAGAGTGTCAGCGTCCTGGGATGAAGGAGAGAGTGTTGCTGATTGAAATCCTGTTCAAGTTCTACGAAGTTGAAATAAATCCAAGTAAAAACCATGAAATCATGGTGAGATGTTTGTCTGGTTTGCATCCGATCGACCGTTTTCCCACACTTTTTCATTTTATTTTTCGGCGTCAACAACGATAACGATATAACCTATGCGTGAAAGACGGAATCAAATAGCCCATTTTAATTCTGTATTTACATTGTTAAACCCTACATAAACTTGTACTCGCTCCGTGTACAGCACTACAGTACTTGGAAAATGCCTGCACCAACCGCACGGATCAGGCACCACCCAGAGGAGGGTACAGATACTAATCAGACACCCGCTTCAGTTTCTCATAACGCCCCTCGACGTACGTAGTCTGGCACAATATACCTGCCGCGCAGCCCCAATAGATAAAGAATGCAACACGCTAACGAGGGGGAAAAAATACAGATGAGGAAGACATCCTAATCGACACAAACGCCGCGCCTCCCACAGAACCCTCTTCACAAGCTAAACAAAACCGCCTCGAACCAAATCAAGAAGAAGATACAGAAATGCAAATCGACCTTGAAGGTCGTCCTGTCTTCACTCCCGCAACTCCATCCCAAGGCGCCTACCGTGTAGAAACCCGCAAAGTTCCTGTCCCTCCACACCGCATGACCCCCCTCAAAGCCACATGGCCCAAGATCTACCCACCCCTCGTCGAACACCTCAAACTCCAAGTACGCATGAACATCAAGAACCGCTCCGTTGAGCTACGCACGTCAAAACACACCACCGACACCGGCGCGCTGCAGAAGGGCGAGGACTTTGTAAAAGCGTTCACACTCGGGTTTGATGTCGACGATGCCATTGCGCTATTGCGGCTAGATGATTTGTATATCGAGACGTTTGAGATTAAGGATGTAAAGACTCTTGGGGGGGAGCATTTGGGGCGCGCGGTTGGGCGGATTGCGGGAAAAGATGGCAAAACGAAGTTTGCGATTGAGAATGCCAGTCGGACGCGTGTTGTGCTTGCGGATCAGAAGATCCATATTCTGGGCGGATTTCAGAATATTCACGTTGCGAGGGAGGCGATTGTTAGTTTGATTTTGGGAAGTCCGCCGGTAAGTGCTTCTAATCGCCTTGTGTAATTGTTCTAAAGTCCATGATATGTGTATACTGATGTGTTTGGTCCCAAACAGGGCAAGGTCTATGGAAACTTACGAACTGTGGCGTCGCGGATGAAAGAGCGGTTTTGAGCGAATGGCTCCTGGAAATGATACCTACAGTGGCATAGCAACGGCGTTTTGGAGTTTCACTTTTTACCTTGATATCTTGATATCCACCCAGCTTGCCCGTTTGTATGAAGGCAATGATAGGGTAAGATGGGAATTGGATTTAACGAAATCGGATTAACAAAAGCAACGTTTTTATGAACCATATTGATTATTTTTTATCATGACCTAATAAAGGAAATCGCATTGTACTGAACGTTTGCTCGGCGAATCACAAAAGAAAGCCAGAGGAGAAGAGAAAAACAAAACCAAAGCGCTCTAGAAAACCACCATCTAATCCTTCTTCAACGGGTGGTGAACCTCCTGTATCCCCTCTGTCGTAATCACCATAACCTGCAACCCGTCGCCAACCTCAATATGTCTCTCCACTGCACTCGTAAACGCATCCTTGACCAGCTGCAGCGCAACATCCCTCGGAGGTGGCACAGGCTCTCGGGGCTGTTTATCCATCGCGTTCCCCTCCCCAGATCCTGGAATAAATTGATTCTTAAAATTGACCTGATTATCCAAGAATGGCATAATCAAGCTCGCCGCCGCACCGGCGGCCCTGCAATACTCCCTCTCATATGAACCAACGGGATCGTAGCTGTACAACGCACCCTTACCCTCCTCATCAATACCAGCCAGGATCGCGTGCACATAGTAGGGGAAAAAGCGTTTCGAGTAGAGGATGGTAGCCAGGCGCTGCGCACAAGCTTTCACGGACATGGGCTTGCCATGCCTGTACTTGTACATTTTAACGATGGCATCAAGACGTTCTTTGAGGGCGCGGCCGTCTGCTGCGAAACCGACGACTGATAGAACGAGGTGGGCACCTTCGCCGCCTTCATTGTCTTCGCCTATTTTGAAGAGCTTGGGCGCATAGCGGGTGTTGATGTTGTAGCCGGAGACGGAGCGCGTGTCACCTGCTAGGATTGCGTAGTCTTTGCCTGCGATGCCGAGTGTTGAGCCCCCGTTGTCGGTATATCTGGGAGGGGGGGGGGTGGAGGATTTTAGTTAAGGGTTCATAAGCTTGTTTTTGGTATGGTATGGACCTTTATTACGAAGAGAGCTAAAAAGGGGGAAGCATACGGGTTGAAGCCATGATGTTGCTTTGGCCTGGTGGTTCCTTGTGGTTCTGCGAATGAATAACCTATTGTTTCGGCATGGGACGAGGGATGATTTAGAAGGGAGGTCATTTCGGAGGCAGAAAGGAGACAATAACGGAAAGAGGTTATAATATCGACAGTAGCAACACTAAGGAAAGAGATAATAAGAAGAATGTATGTTGTATGCTGTATGTTGACTTTTTGGATGTTGTTCTGTTGAATGATGAAGCTGAAGCTGTCGTTGAAGCTCTTGCTTCTGGCCGCTTACGTGATGCCGGCTGCCTTGTGCTTATGTCATCCACCTCCAGCTGTTTCTCTCTTCCACCAAATCCAGACAATTTGACCAACGAAAGGGCAACATACTACACAGAAAAGAAAAGAAAAGAAAAAGAAAATAATCAAAAGGTCTTTTCAGATCATGGGACAGCCAGCTGTGCCAGGCGCCCAGTCCCATGGGCTCACTGGTACACTTTTTCAGAGGGCAGTGGGTGGTGCACAATGTCACAGCCCAGGTGGCAGAGGACTGCATGTCCCGAATCGCACCCAGCTCATGGTTGTCCAGCATTTGGCTATCCATGCATCACTGGTCGGAAATGAGCGCGTTCCTACCCGAGGATTGAAACCATTGGATCTCATGTCTCTAGAGGCAGGCTCTCCGAGAAGCCCGTATTGATCAGTTTGAAGCGCCAGCTTTGTTGCAGATGGAGATTTACCACCGACATGCATCCTGTGTATAAACAGGATCATTACCTTGAGGGTTTATCTTCTTTGATCATGAGCATCGCGGGCTCTAGATCTACTACTATCAAGGACTAGAGTTGCATGCTCAATCATCCTTCTATTCTTCTTTCTCTTTCCTCTTAGCCTACCCTGGCCTAACGCAATCTTGCACGCCTATCATTCCCATTTCCGCTGTCGGTCAATAATTATTGCGCCTGTGTCTCTGCAGTTTTTTTTTTTTTTTTTTTTTTTTATGATGTTCGGTAATTTTAAACCATTATCTACGCTCCTTGATATAAACGATCAAAGTACCTCCGCTGGTAACAGGCTAGACAATGGCGTGCGGGTTGAGGAGAACGGATTATATATGGTTCTATGGGATACCGGAATCACAGGGAAATACCACTGGGGTTTGCTTGTCGCTCAGACAAATACCTCTGGCGTCCTTTGCCATCAAGCACTGAGTGGGCCTAACTGGAAGTTTATTGTGGAAATCAAGGACTTATCGGTGTCAAAATCGGTCTTGCTCGCTCTCAAAGTTGGATATCTTGAAAAAACCAACGACGAGTGGTTGTCGGCGATGAAATCTATAATCCGAAATGCTACGGTGCACGGAGAGCTCACCTGTCGTACCTGGGCGCTGGCAGCCCTTTACGAGCTCGCCTCTGCGGGATTTATTGATCTGGACCCTAATTGGGATCATGTACATGGGATCGAGGAGGAGGCAAAAAGACTGGCAGAGCATGCAAGATTTACCGACACCAAGTTCGTTCAGCCGAGCCAGTCAGCTAAACTACAATGATTGGCGCCACTGGCCCAAAATATGTTTCCCTGAACTATTTTAATTTTGATTATTACTTTGTGATTAAGTATGTATGCCTTTCAGTGCCTTGACATATTTTTTGTATGCTGGAAATTGAATTTGCGCTGTACGGTGTCGCTAGTTAGCAGTATTCACCTTCACATAGTTCCTCCAGCCTCCGTAAGAGAAGCGTTATAAACTGTCTTGGGCGCCATTATTTTTAATTTTGTTTTCTGACAGCGCCGAACTGCGCCACCACCGCACCAATCCTGTAGCGTGCGTTGACATGGACATCCAAAGTTGTCTGGGTTTTATTTCTCCAGCATAAGAACTAATTCCAGTTCTTTTCGACATGCCGGCCAGTGTGGATTCCTTGCAGAGTGAAGACAGCCTCTATGCGGCCGCGTCCCATGCAATTAAATCAGCCCATTTATCAGCAGTTGAACATATTCAGTTGCACTTTTTCATAAATGATGCGATCAAAAGAGCCCAGGCCTCGCGCTTTATACTGAGTCGCATACCGGAATCCTATCCTGAAGGTGCCGAAAGCGCCGAAGACATTCTTCGGGGGATCAAAGAGGACCTAATATCTGTAGCACGGAAAAGTATGATGGCTGATTATTAAATCGTCTTATGTTTACCCTTAGTCTTATTCTAACATGTTCGTAGTTGTGCGTGATGATGATAGCGATGCGGTCTCTTCTACTGTCGAAAGCGCCCTATATGAGCGGGAAAGAAATCGATGCTGTGTTTCTGGCCACGACACAGGCCTCAAACCTATATTCATTGTCTCCCCATCAATCGTAGATGATGAAGATCTACAAGCTGGAGTAAATATGTGCATAATCCCTCTGAGGAAATCGCTTGCTTACATTTCACTTCAGGGACGATTGCGACCCATCCTTGACGCTGTCTTATCTGCAGAAATTGCCAACGAGCTGTTCACATTCTTTAAATCCCAGGACAGCGCAAAAGAAAGCCTGCTCAAGAATCTATGGCTTATGTCGCCAGAAGTGAGGACTGCGTTCCAAAATGGCCATATATACATATCGAAATATCGGTTGGGGCACCAAAAGTTTATTGTCAGTATTTGCTCCAAGAATGAAACTTCTATGAATCTTTGATACTAAGTTCAAGGTATTTATGTGCAGTGGAGTGTTCGTAAAAGACCACCCAAACATTTTTCCCCCGTTAATGAAAGCTTTCATATAACTCCCTCAACTCCCGACGAAAGCTGCCTTCCCCTCCCCGAAGGCTTTCTACTACAAGTACATTCCGCCGCATCGGCTATCCTGCACACTTTATCTATTGAAAATGAGATTCGCCATGGATGGGCGCCGGTAAAGCCTGGTAAGTAGACTTCGATGAAGTACCTTTAAACGCCCGTCAAACTCACAGAATAATATAGGACGGACATTGGGGCAGTTTGGAAGATGTCTCCTCCGCGGGTTTGCTCTGATGATTCCAAACTCCATCTGCGTGGCCATTTACCGCCTTATTCTCAAAGCTGTCGACTATTGGGATCCCCAAGGAAACCCTTCGGTCAAGTTTCTTCCATTTGGCCTTTGTCTAAAGACAGGCCGGCGCGTTACGCGAAATGAGGCAAACGCGCTCCGTCTCATTGAGAAACACACCTCCATAACAGCCCCGAAACTAATCGATTTTGCGACGGATAGTACAGCAAACAACAACTTCCTGTTGATGACAGTGGTACCCGGTATTGGTGCTGATCGAGTATTCTACAGAATGACGTATGAAGAACGGCGTCAACTCGCAATAGATGTTGGTAGTTGCATTTCACAGTATCGCCAAATAAAGAATGATTATGCCCAGAAGCATTTGATATGTGATACTCTTGGTGGGCCAATTACAGACCATCGCACCGATGATCGTGGGTTTTGTGGTCCCTACAACTCCAAACCCGAATTCCTGGACGATTTGACAGAGGATCTTGAGAGTATCAGAACAGAAAGACCTCTCTCGTATCTATATGAGAAGCAACACGAGGTCTGTTTTACTCACTCAGACCTGCATTTATCGAACCTGCTTGTTCATCGTGGACGGCTCTGCGGTATCATCGATTGGGAAAATGCAGGCTTCAAACCCGAGTTCTGGGAATACACGCGGATTGTGTGGGGGTATAAGAGTGACCATCGGCTTTCGCAGGATTTTGAACTTGCATTCGAGAAGAGCTACAAAGAGGAGTTAGAAGCTGAGCGGTTACTTTGGAGGCTAAAGCCCGTTTTCTAATTTCTGGGTGCCTATATATTTAACAAATAACTGAGCACTAGATGCAAAGCAATCACAGACCTGTACAGGTGTTCACTTGCTAAAATGCAAAAAGTTGAGAAACCATGTTTAATGATGAAGGACATGAGGACAGGGTTTATAGTGCAAGAAAAATCTTATGAAACTTGTACTGTTGTATTGGAATTCTGTAAGACATCTATTATAAAATATCTGTACAGCTCTCTCTTTTTCTTTCTCTTTCTTCATGATATAATCATATAAGCAGATTCTCTCTATATATTTTTTCTATCTGCTCTCACTCATTTTTTGAGTTCAATACTTTTGCAGTTTTATTTCTTTTAAAATATTATTATTCTTCTTCTCATCTACATAGTATAATATACACTCTATTGAGTATTTTATTTGCAGCTTTTTCAATCATTTTTAGATTTTCTTTGATTGATTTTAAGCTGTCTATCGAGTCTATAATTATATTATCTATATGAAAACCTTGCTAGATAGATTATAATGTTAACATCAATTCCACTAGTTACAGATTAGATATCCCTTAGCTAAACAAGTCTCAGCAATGATGTCAACAAATGAAACATACAACATTCAGAAAGATATTACCCCCAAGTACTGTTTATTTCTGCCTTCTACTAACAACCTCTCGCATGGGCCGGTATGTTTTTTAGCCAGAAATGGCCTAGTTAAGAGGCAAGGCATACTCCGTCCATATTGATTTCGTATTTCAAAAGTGGAGCAATGTCACGGTCACTGACGAACAAGCTGAGGAGGGGTGGGAAGTCTGCGGAGGGGAATGTGTTCAGGACGCGCTGTTGCTGGTCATCGCCAAATAACTAAGCTGCATCTTGAACCTGAGAGTATTCCTACGAATTTGCACATCCATCCACTTGATATAACATTTCACCAGATATTGGAAAGCTCTTGCAATTGCCATGCGTCTTCTTAACGCCAAAACCCATCAGCTGGAAGAATTCCCGGACGATCGCATTCCTCCATACGCCATTCTTTCCCATAGATGGCAGACCGAAGAAGTGATTTTTCAGGAGCTTGAAGCATCTCCAGCATTTACCGGACCCCGGTTTAGGAAATTATTCGACACTTGCGCCCAGGCACTTAAGAATGGGGTGGACTATGTGTGGGTAGATACCTGCTGCATTGACAAGTCCAGCAGCGCAGAGCTATCTGAGTCCATCAACTCCATGTACGAATGGTACCGATGTGCAGAGGCCTGCTATGTTTACCTCAATGACGTGATGGAATCCTCAGTCACGGAAGACTCAAGTTTCCATTCTAGCGTCTGGTTTACGAGGGGCTGGACGCTACAAGAACTTATCGCTCCGGCCAACGTGCAATTTTTCAACGCCGAATGGCAGACTCTGGGTTCGAAAGTGGATTTAAAGGATGAAATATCTTCAATTACGCGGATTCCAGTGCCAGTTCTTACCGGCGTGCTGGCTCCCCAGGATCTCAGCATTGCACAACGGATGTCGTGGGCATCTCACAGAACCACGACCAAAGTGGAGGATATCGCATACAGCCTTTTGAAATTATTTGATATCAACATGCCCATTCTTTACGGCGAAAAAGAAAAAGCTTTCATCCGGCTGCAGGAGGAGATAATGAAACAGTCAGACGATCAGACGCTGTTTGCCTGGAAGATCTCAGACGGTCAAACATACCATGGATTGTTCGCAAAATCGCCGGCAGACTTTGCAAAGAGCGCGGACATAGTTCCACTGCCATCGTCTTGGAACCGCTCTCCATATTCTGTTACAAATAAGGGCCTTTCGATAGAAGTGCCGATGTTACCATGGGCAATGGAAACATATTTCGTTGCTCTGGATATCCAACGAGCAAGTAAAATGAAACGCCTAGGCATATTCGTGACCTTCCTCCAGGAAGAGAATCAATATGCGAGAGTAACGGTTGACGGCGAGGGCCTGACCGAATTCGACACAAAACTCGCTTCGAAATGTGAATACCGGCGGATCTATGTGAGGCAGGCGATTTCGGGAAAGCAGAGGCCGCGAGAGAATGTATATGGATTTTGGCTCCGCCATTTCCCAGCGCGTGATACCAGAGCAGGAGCTGAATTTGATATCATGTCCTGGAACGAGTGGGTTGACCATGAACGGCTCGTTTTGATCCCTACGGGACAGCGCGGGACTGCTGCAATTATCCGGTACAAGATGAAGTCTGGCCGTACGGAGAACATAAAACTGGGCTTTGATTCCATGTTCAACCCCGTGGTTCAGTTTGGAGGCCACCGATATGCACGCAACACTTTTGGGACTCCGACTATGGAAGATTTCGATGTCATGATGGGTACAGACTGGATGGATCCGAAACTTGAAGGGGTCCACAAGGGAAATAGACTTTCCGGCCTTAATGCGGAAGATCCGTGGATCAGAATACTTGTCCTAGCAGACACTGTCGACGAGAAGCGAATATGGGTCGTCCACATTGAATTTGCAGAAGAAGCAGCATGGCACAAAGACACCATTTGTGACGGCTGTAATCTGGTAAGTTAAATAAAATGACTGTACTTTGGCTCCATCCAGCGACAAGATCACGCTAACGAAAATGCGATAGAATATCTTTGGCACTCGCTATTCATGCCGCGTCTGCCCCGACTTTGACTACTGCACGGCTTGCAAAGAAGCTGATTCGAACCACAGCGGCCACGGTTTCAATGCCGTCAAACTTGTTCGGCACTACGGTGTCAAATGTGATCAGTGCTCGGATGTAAGTCCACGTTTGTCCCCAGGACGAAAACGTCGTTGCTATGTGTAAAGCAAAGATACGTACTGACGCGTCAATGCAGACTGTTTACGGTATACGGTATAATTGCCGCGAGTGCAATAACTTTGACCTTTGCCCATTTTGCCACAAAGATGCTAATGAGATCCATCCGGGTCATCGGTTTAGCGCCATCAAGAAACCACAGTAGCCAGGTGACTGGTTTAGACTGAATCCAGGGCTTGTTGAAGCCAAAAAAACCAGGCTGGAGGGATAATATATATACACGCAATACAGACATTACTTGAATATCATTCCTTTAGAAAGTTCCCAGCTTCTACTTATTTTTGTTTCGGTTCTGTGACATTGGCTCCTTGTTTTGTCGTTGGATGAATCCATAGTGGATTTTTAGTGCAAAAGGGGTTGTCCGTCCAGTTGAGGAAATTTCTAGTGTCAAAGAATTAGTTGGAAATATATATTTGTATTTTTATAGATCCAGTCAATATATGTTATGGCCCTTTTGGCGTAATGATATGTGCGTTGTGGATTTGTACTACTGGGTACAACCGCATATTCCCTATAGATCCAGATTAATTTGACGTACCGTATATCTAATTACCCAAGGAATTTTGAATGTAGTTTTCATATAATAATCACGCATCATCCCACGTATAAACTCCTAAGTGTGTGTAATTTAAGGAGCCTAGTTTATCCAGTCGAACCGCACAAATAGCCGCGCGCTTATTTTGAACTCCAGATACTCCCGGCCAATAGATCAAGCAGATAGCTCAACATCAGCTCTAGAGGGGATTCGCCGTTCTGCGCTGGGATTGTCGGACAGAGATACCATGCTGGGCCTGACAGCGTATGGAAGCAGCAGCGAAGATGAGGACGAAAGCAGTCCTCCATTAAAAGCTCAGAAGACAACGGTGCGCCGCCCTGAACTTCTGGTGCCGGCCGGTTAATCGTCCTAACCTGTGTATGCAGCAACCAGCGGAATCTTGCACAGAGATACCAGCTCAGCCTGCCGGTATGCTCTATCCTTACATAATTTTCCGCTTAATTATGTAGTGTCATATCTAATAATCTTCATAAAAAGGAAACGCTGGCTCTCAAGAACCCATACCAGCAGCCACTGCCAGAGTTGAAAAAGCCGACGGATCTCTGATTGGACCTTTTCGACCCCCTCGATCCCCTTCTCCTGCAAACGATAATAACATTGGTCCTCAACTACCATCTCAGAAACCCTCCTCATTTTCCACAAATCACTCCTTACTCCGCGACATGACTCTCCCCGCGATCCCCAACCTCGATATCCCACCCTCACCACCCGGCTCCCCAGGCCCAGTTGCGAACCAGAAATTTGCCCACTTCCTCTCTCTAAAGAGACAGGGCGTCCACTTCAATGAGAAACTCGCCAGTTCCTCCTCCCTGCGAAACCCTAGCCTACTCACTAAACTGATGGACCACGCTGGCATCGATGCACAGCTGCAATACGCCACCTCCCTGCCGAAAGACCTATGGGACCCTGTCACGACGCTTCCTCCATGGGGGCATAAGGAGGAGTTGCTCAAAAGCCAACAAGAGATACGGCGGAAGATTGAAGAGAAGAAAGGATCGGGTCCCCGGGAGGCTATAGAATTTGTCTCTGGAGGCGGCGGTGGCGGGGCGTCGGGAGACTCGAGCCGGACGGGGACACCATCCAACGCGAAGGCGAGGCCTAGCGCTGCCGAAAGAGTTATGGCGGGCCTGAGTAGGGAAAGGACAAGCTCGCCGATGAATACTGACCGGGATCGAGGGAAACGGACGGTGGATTTGGAGCGGCGACCAAGGAAGAAGCGATCGCGGTCTAGATGATAGGGCTATCTTTACATCAGATATATTTTGCTGCTTCTGTTCTTTTTTTTGAGGGGGAGATTTTAAATTAATTATGGGTGGGCGATTTTTTATCAGGCATTTGTATATATTCCTACCTGAACGGCGATTGGTGCATAGAGATTACCTGCGAGAGAATTACAGGACCTTGATGGGCTACGAACTAAATGCAGGGATCTCAACTGTCATATGATTTTTTATATCGTTTTTCACTTATAACGTCTCAAATCTTTAAATTAGTATGCCCGATTATGATTTTCTATTTCCGATCTGTCTGTGTCGTGATTAGACGCGGCAAGCTCCGCACTATTTAAGCGCCGCGCTTGCTGACTGAGCTTCCTTTGGGCAGACGCAACCACCTTGTTGACTGATTCCAACAACAGATCTACGCCGTCTCTACAACTATCTCTCCTCGACTACAGTCTCTGGCTCTCTACAATTCAAAGCAACGAGAGATCTAATACCCGCCATTAGTTTTATTCACAGTTACAGTTCGAGTTCCACCAAAATGAACCACTTCCCTCAAGCATGGGGACGAGTGAGCTTCCCCCGTCGTCAGCTGTACCATGTTTATTACAGGAACTAACTGCGCTTCTCACACGCCCATAGCCTAGGAACGACGTCTACGGTGCTTACGACCATTCATATCTTCAAACTTCAGCTCCCCAGACACATACACAGTCACCCGCCGTAACAGGTACATCAGTAATTGCCGTCAAGTTCAATGGCGGCGTAGCTATCGCAGCAGATAATTTAGGTACGACAGCTCCATACTGCCATTGATTCCCCCATTGGCACATTGAAATATGCCTAATCTGACATTACATTAGCCTCCTACGGCTCCCTCGCCAGGTTCACGGACATTAAACGCCTACGCCCCTTCGACAACGCCGCTGTGATCGGCTTCGGCGGTGACGTGTCTGATATGCAATACGTCGACCGCCTCCTAACCTTCCTTGACATCGAAGACAACTACTCAACCTACGGCCACTCCCTCAACGCGCAGAATCTGCACACCTACCTATCGAAAGTGATGTACAGGCGACGGTCGGAATTCAATCCCCTGTGGAACATGATCCTCGTAGCAGGCTTTGACGGCGAGGACAAGCCATTCCTCAGCTCCGTCGATCTGCTGGGTAACACGTACTCTGCGCCGCACCTGGCCACGGGGTTCGGAGCGCATCTGGCCATCCCAGTGTTGCGAAGGGTGTTTCCGGAAGAAACTCCGCTGGAGGATATTAAAGAGGAGCATGCAGTTAAGGCACTACAGGAATGTATGAAGGTGCTATTCTATCGCGATGCAAGGAGTACGGATCGGTATTCGATTGCAGTGGTGAAAAAGGATGGGGTGGAACTCAAGGAGAATGAACAGTTAGAGAACCAGAGTTGGGCGTTTGCAGAGGGTATTAGAGGGTATGGAAGGACGACGAAATGAATTAATTGATATGCCGGGGGTGGATGGGATGATGATGACCGGGATGGGGGTTGGAGAGGTTTTTGTTCTTATTTCCTTAAGATGCTGATTTCGTATTTGATTCAAGCTATTACGTTTTAAAGAAGCTTCATTTGGCCTCGTTCTATCCGGGTATATGTGCTGTCTCTAGATCTATGGATGCTCTTTACTAGAGCTAAACATCTTAGGCCATCAATTCCTCTTGACTGCTGCCAGTTGTAGCTGGACTTGCCTCATCGTGGATTTCCCCGTTTAAATATTACTTTGATAAGAGCCATCCACTCATCGCCACCATCTACAAGTTAGCGGAATTCCCCTCGAAAACAACCGTGTTCTCACAAGTGCCCACGCCTTCAAGTGATACCTCAACCTTATCGCCATGCTTCAGCCATAGCGGCGGGTTCCTGCCCATGCCGACCCCCTGAGGTCTAGATACCAGCAGGAAAACGAAGTTAGCAAAATACAACCAACCACACTCAAAAGGCAATAATAGAGTCAGAGGACAAGAAATAAATACTTACGTCCCCGTAAAAATCAAATCGCCCGGCCCCAACGTAGACCCCTTTGACAACAACGCAACGGTCCTCCTTACGCCAAAAATCATATCCCGCGTCGAACTCTTCTGCACAACCACGCCATTCAACCTCGTCTCAATCCCCAAATGCCCCGCATCCCCCAGCACCTCCGTCGTCACAATCCCAGGCCCTACAGGCGCCCACCCATCAAAACCCTTCCCAATCCCCCACTGTCCCCCCCCGCGCTTCAACTGCCACTCCCGATGCGACACATCATTCCCCACGGTGTAGCCCAGGACATACTGCAGCGCGTCCTCTTCAGACACATCACGACACTGCTTCCCCATAACAATCACCAGCTCACACTCATAATCCACACCGGGACACTCCTGCGCGATGCCGGGGACGGGTATGTCATCGCGGGGCCCCGCAAGGGCCGCGGGCGGTTTATAGAAGAGGATGGGGTATTTGGGGACGGGCATGTTTGTTTCAGCGGCGTGTTGGGCATAGTTGAGGCCAAGGCAGCGGATGGTCGATATATCGGCCTGGGCGAGCGGGGAGAGTAGGCGGGAGATGGGTTTTGTGGTGCTGGTTAGGGTTGGGGAGCGGAAGATGTCACCGGTGATGAGGCGGGCGGCGGTGGCGTGGGATATATCGGTGGTATGGGCCGGGAGGAGAGGGTCGCCGTAGTAGATCCGGCCGTCTTTGGAGAGGAAGCGGATGAGACGCTAGGTTTGCGGTGTTAGTTTGGGGATTTTGATGTGGCGGATATCAGTAACTGGGGGGCGGGCGGGAGTTACCGAAAAGGGTGGCATGACGAGTTCCTGGTCTTTTCTTTTCTGTTCTTTTCTTTTCTTTTGTCCTTTGTTTTGTTATGATGTTTGTTTCCCTCTGCCTTATTGCCCGCCCTCTGTATCTTGGATGGTCAATTGAGTTGGGGGAGTCAGGAAGAATGGATTTGCATGAACTGTACGGAGCAACTCCGTATAAATACATGTAACTAGCTAAATCCCCGCCGCCTGGTGAGAATTGATAACTAGTTATATGACCCGCAGGAATAAAAGAAATACCAAAACTATTCCACAGACAGTGACATATTTAACAAAATAAAAGGTATTTATGATCCTAATGCCCTCCCCCAGACGAAGATATATTAATAATTGTCTGCTGTTGTGCGACTTCTCCCCCGCAAAACTCGGCCGGGAAGATTTATTGCACATTTTAGTGCCGATTTTAGCGGCTCTGCTTTACGTTAGTTAACTAAAAAATACTCTCTTGATTTCTATTTTTTTATTTTTTCTATAACTATGGAGTAGTTACACCTGCAAGTAATTCCATGGATTAAAACTACGCCACACTCTTCTTCTTCTTTAAATATTATTATTATTATTATTATTATTATCGCTCGCTGCGTGGTTTCACGCGATATTTACGCCAATCTTCCCGGAAGGCAATTATTCTAGCCCCGCTTCCACAAGATCCGGCCATGAGGAAGCTGTCAGGACTACAGCGGGATGTGTGCTCGCTGTACAGACTCGCGCTCCGGGAGATCAGGAAGAAGCCCCAGGTATGCATGCATTGCTTGTGACCCTCCGGTTGCATGAAAGCTAATTCATCGACCTACAGGAGTCTCAGGCCAACTTCAAGCAGTTCGCCAGGTGTGTACAGCCGGACAAGTCCTCCCCCCCCCCCCCTATATATATAATTATTATAAAATCTAACCCCAAGATTATTGTTCTTGTATAGACAGGAATTCCGCAAGAACATGGGTATCAGCAAGAAAGACTTCACAGCCATTGAGTACCTTCTGCGACGAGGCCGGCGCCAGATCGAGATGTATTCTTCTCCAGGAATCAGGAATGTTCTAAGGTGATAGATGGCCAGAACCAAGATCCTATGTCATCGATGTCATCTATCAACCAGCACGCCCGCAATAGAGTTCGCACTAGCAGAGAATATCAGCATCAGTGTCTCATTCTTCCTGCTACTTTCTGCCTTAGAAATTCCGCTATCACGTGACCATATGCCGAAGCTTCTACCAAATTCGCGCAAGCCCTCAGAGCTTCCAGCAAACCATCTCGCGGTCGGTGACGTAAAGGAGCGATGGCGAAACGGGGGGAGCCGCCTGCCCATGCCGTCAAACATATATAAGCTCCCTGAATAACTGGCGAGGGCGTGGTTTTCTCAATCCAATATACATCACTAAAAAAGCAAACAGAGAATCGATCTGACAGCTTCGATGGTCAATTAAACCAAAACCATCCAAACACCAGCCCAATATACCCTCTTATGTCCTCTCGCCCAGCCATTATTAAATCTCTCAAGAGCAGACTGCCATCCCAGCGATACCTAGCTTCCCCAGCTTACCGCGTCTCCAAACTCGCCACAACAGCCTCGGCAACTCCATACAACTACACCACTTCTACGAACAAGATCCATAATCACAACCAAACCCGCAACATGTCTTTCTTCCCCCGCTTCCCCTCTGGCGAATTCACCCCTCTCTTCCGTCTTCTAGAAGACTACGAGACCCACCGTTCCGGCTCTGAATCCACCTCTGGCATGCGCACCTTCGCCCCGCGCTTCGACGTCCGCGAATCAAAGGACGCCTACCACCTCGATGGCGAGCTGCCAGGCATCAGCCAAAAGGACATCGACATCGAGTTCACCGACTCCCAAACCCTCGTCGTCAAGGGCCGCTCAGAGCGCGAGTACTCCGCCTCTTCCGGTGGCGACGAGCATCCCTCCGCCAGCGGAGCCCTCCACGGGCCCAGAAAGCCCCGCCAACCAACCGTTGAGGATGAAGAGCCGGAGACCTCGACGACCGCTGTGACGAAGACGGGCGGCAAATCCCAGGCAGTCGGCCACCATGTTCGTGATGGGATGAAGTATTGGGTCTGCGAGCGCTCTGTGGGCGAGTTTAGTCGCACATTCAGCTTCCCGTCCAGGGTTAATCAGGATGGTGTGAAGGCTAGTTTGAAGAATGGGATTTTGTCGGTTGTCATCCCGAAGTCGTCGGCGCCGACTTCGAAGAGGATTAATATTGACTAAAGGCAGCGGTGGGTAGTGTTCAGATAATGATGGGATGTATACTAATTTACGTGGTTTCAAATTCGGTCTGGGGGTTGACATTTCTTAGCATTTTGGAGTTGAGTTTGTTTTGATTTTTGATTCTGGTTCCTCGTTGCGTTTTTGCATTTGCTAGCGTTTGTTTAATTATAATTGTAATGCGAAGTGACCAAAATGCTGTGTGCGAAGTTTGTGAGAAATCTTCTGACGTCGCCAGATGGTCAAGAAAAGATACGAGTAATTTCCACAAATTGAGCAGTTGAGTGTATATTAGCAACATCTCACATCCCAACCATTAATATTCAGTATTATCGATTGAGTTCCCATAACATCGAGTACCAGCAAGCTGGAATTAAAGATGTTTTCATAATAGACACGGTATGAGTAGGAGCAAATAAAACGATTGTAATATTAATTCCTGACGGGTATATAGGAGAAGAACAAAGGAGATAATGTGCAAGAGTAGACAAATTGTGTAGGTCACGGCACGGCAAGGAAAACCGGGCAAACAGGTGAACAAATTTTATCAAAAATGGAATAAACAACATGACAAAGGAGAGTGTGGTAGTGGATATGATGAGTGTTTCAACTACAAAAAGGTGTAAGAGGGCAAGCAAGTATCGGACTTCGCCCCTCAGCAAAGAAAGATAAAATAAGATATATTCCAAGATCCATCACAGGGTAATAAAGGTAAAATCAACTAGGTGGATTAGCACATGTCCAAATAGGGTAGATGAATAATGAATGGTAGGCCGTTTCGCGAATGCTCACTGGCATCGTTATATGCGTTCAACCTTCTTCTAGCGTTGCGTCAACTATGAAAAGAATATATATGTGAATAAATTGTGAAATGATGTTTCCTCGAAAGGAAAAGAGAAGAAAGAGACAACAAGAGTAGGACGGGTAACTCGTAATAAAAATTGCAAAAGAATAAATAATGAACAAAAGTTCCAGCGTACTATAAGCAACACACACAGGTTAAACAGCAAGCAGGCAGGACAAAGAAGTCAAATTGACTCAGGTTACTCAGCCCCTGAGTCTACTGTGGCTGTGGTTGTGACTGTGACTGCGGCAACCCAACACAAAAGAACGGATTCCTCCTCCCTTCCACTCCGCGCACAAAACTCCTCTTCGGTTTAACCCTCTTCGAATTCTGAAGCGGGAATGGGCCTGTAAATATGGAGGGAGAACGGTTATATTCCGTGCCATCATCGATATTATAGTTATTATAATCGGGGCACCTATTGCCGCTAGAGTCCACCCGGCGGGATGGTGGGGTGTCGCCCAATATCACCGATTCATGCTCGGGCCCAGGAGCCGGAGTCGGAGGCAGCTCACGGTCTAGGTTTGAGATGGGAAGGTTTCTGTGGCGAGGGGCTGATTCTGTTGCTGTGGTTGGAGATGTAGGGTTATTAGTGGCGGGTTTGGATCTAGTTAGTTTGTGGCCGAAGAAGCTCGTGCGGTCTCCAGGGACCGTGTTTCGCTTCTTGCTACGGTTTCGATGTCGGAAGAAAGAGTTTCGCACGCCACTGCGGCTTTGTTGCTGCTCTTGTTCTTGTCGCTGGTGCTGCTGCCTGTGAGGTTGGTGGTCCATTTTTAAGTTCGAAGTACTCTCATTTAAATTTACCATTGACTGTGGACGGTGGAGTCTGTGCGCCTGAAGCGGGTACGGATGAGAAAGATTGGCAAAGTCAGTCGACTTTTTGTTCTGAACGGAAGTAGATCGATGAATGGGGACCGTATGTTCGTTCACTTGGTTCTCAGTGGGAGTGACATAGTCAGCCTCCAAGTTCTTAAGGGGATCGTGCTGAGAAGGATCAGGACTCCATAACCAGGAACTCTGCTCCGTCTCTGGAATAGCTTCGCTAAGGAATGAGTGGAAGCCCTTATCCAGCGGCGTTGGAGATAGGATAGGTGTCACTGGTGGGGCTAGTATTGAAGATCCGATGTGAGCCATGCGCTGTGAAAAGCTAGCGTTTGCCTGAACTGTTAGAGGCCGAGCTCGATCAACTTCCTCATATCTCGAGCGATGTTCGTGTAAGTTCGGGGTTTTTGAAGCAGGAGGCGTATCCTTCCGCGGGACTGGCGGAGGCATTCCCGACGGGGATCTCCTTCGAGAAGTGGGTCTTGAAGGGCTTGTTTCAATACACTCTTCAATGGCTTTGGTGGTCCCAGAGGAAATTACATTTGGTTGCCCAGTTGCCTCATCTGTGCCTTCACGACCTTTAGTCAATGCTAGTTGGTGACGCCGCAAGGATCGATTTGAAGAAGCAGAGCTGTACCCGCTGTCAGCTTTGGTCAACGGGCACGTTTTTTGATCTTTCACTCTGCTAGTACTATTACAGGCATAACTTTCCACCGAGCGGCCTCGATTCAAGTCGACGTTACATTCGCGTTCAACAAACTCGTTCTTCTCAGTTAGTACCACTTTCTCGTCTTCGTTTTCGAATAAGTGATCACCAAATCCATTCGCTTTGGAAGTTGTTAGTAGAGCCGGATTAGGCTCACCCGACGGACCTGCAGATGCGCCGAAATCCAAGGGTTGATCTTTTATGCTCCCGGGAACAGAAGAGATTCCAAGGAATGTCTCAGCATTTTTCGGCCAGGAGAGCCTAAACACTGGGAGACCAGAGTCATGTTTTCCACAGGACGGTGTTTCTGAAAGGCCATATTCCGATCTCAAGGGGCTTTTACTGCGGTTAATTCGCGGTGTTCTTAATCTGCTAGGCGACGGCTCGAGATGTGAACTTCGAGCATGCGGCGCCCGTGGTAAACTGTTTGAAGAATAACCATCCGACCAATCTCGACTTCGGCTCCGTAGCAAATCCGTAGAGTTGCGCTGATCCAGGTGTACGCTTTTCATGTCGGAAAATGACTGTCGTCTAACGCTCATGGGAGTTCGGTCACTTGGGGCCGGAGACGCACTGCCATTAACAACGCGAAGAGAGCCAAGCTTCAGCCTTCCCAAGTGGGAATATTCCAGATCACTGGGAGTCGATGCCCGTAAGGGGGAAGAGTGAGTCATTTCATATAATAATAACGTATCCGTCGAGGTCCGCCGCATTGGTGCATGACCGTCCCGTCCCCAGTACGAAAAGGCCGGGCCCTCCTGTACGGTACTGCGTGGCGAAAAGATGGTCTGTAGCAAGGTTTTTGGAGATCTTACGGGCTTTCCAGGATTGTACAATGAAAGCCTGCGGATTGACGGGAATCGATGACTTTCAGGAGGACCGAATCCATCCCGGGTAGACACTCCTAGACCAAATGCCCTATCCGGCTCTTCTGTTTGGGCGCTACTCACCCTAGCTGGCATAGGTTGGGAAAATCGGGTTTCCAATTTATCTAGTTCCGGCGCATGAGAAAACAGAGCACCTCTTGTCCGTGATCCTGATCTCGACATTCGGCGTTTGAATTCTCCCATTATTTCCCCAAAATTAGCTCGAGTCCTGCCATCATCTCCAGTACATTGACTTCCCGAAGCGTGGCTAGGGTGAAGGGAGGCCGGTGAAGAGGGTTCCACAGCGATAACTTCGTCAATCGGAGGCCTTAGCTCTGGGGAACACACGGGCTGAGGATCCAGCCATGGACTGGGTGAACTGTGTGCGCTGTATGGGCTATACGGGCTGTATGAGCTCAGAGGCGGGGATTCGAGAAATAGCTCCTGGTCCCAAGTGGTCCTCAACCGATTGCCTGCGTGATTGGTCCGGGCCTTTGAAAGGCGATTGGAACGTCGAGCGCTCTTGTGGGGATGAACTGGCTGCGTGGATTGCGTGTTTCCCATTGCCACCGTTTTTGGTGTTGGCAAACACGATGCGAGACTTGGAGGCGGACGACTGTGAAAGAGATCCAGTACAGCAACACAACCATACAGCTCAGCAGCCTTTCAATTAAGGGTCAAAATCACAGCTGGATGCAAAAGATTCAAGAATGAGGGGATAGAAACGGGGAGGATGGGAAGGTAAATAACGAGTAAGCAGGGCTTGAATATTGCTGCACTATTGGCACGCGACGAGGCAGGGATGAAGCTGTACAAGAATTGCCTGCATATGTCAGAAAACTTAGGTGCAGATCGAAATTAATAAAAGAAAGGATATAGATAAGGAGAACCTTGTTTTCTAACAAGAGCAGTTCTTACAAATAATCTCCTTGTATATCCGATTAAGGCTTCTCGGGGGGGAAAAAAAAAAGAAGAAACTAGCATCTGGCCACATGGATCTCTGTCTCAGGTTCGCTGGCTGTAGGAGCAGTAAACAGCAAGTGGAGAGCTGGAGAAATTAACGAAAACGGAAAACAATAATAGTCGTGACGCAACAGACAGTGGATTTCACCACGATGACAAGACGAATATCAAGATAAAACGGCCTTCATGGCGGGAAAGGCGACGTAAGCCTTCAAAGATCTGGAATTGATCAAGAAGGAAAAAAGGAAATAAAAAAAGGAAGAAAAATAAATTAAACAGGCCAAATGCTGTAGCTGAAACTGGGATATGCGTGGTGCGCTTTGAAGGAGGTTGAGAAGGAGAGGCGGAAAAAGAATATGGATGACGGCTGTACAATACAGTTTCTATGGATACCGATCAACCGTGACCATCTTGTTGCAAATGTCAAGAATATTGAAAATAAGAGAGGAAAACAATAAGATCCAGGCGTGGTTAACGACCAGGTTTTACCTGAATGAGGGCCAACCTGGCGGTGATGGGGTTTTCCATTGGGGGGGCAGCGCCGATGGAAAATCCTGGTAGGTCCCTACAGCTGGATAGCAGTGGGCATCCGAGACGCACGAGGGAGAGCAGTTCGATCCCGCTAAGGGGGGATCGAAGCTTGCCACCCAGACCAATGACGGGATTGACATGCAGCAGGCAGAAAAAAAATGAGAGCGCGATTAGCATGAAGATCAGGTATGCAGGACCAGTGCACGATCTATAGGCGGAGGAGATATATATCAAACAGGTTAGCGGGCAGCCAAAACTGGCAAGAAATTGATTGAATGGGGCACTGTGAAACCCGGGGGTCCAGGAATCAAGATTGCTGGTTTCGGTCTCAGTAGCTAGTGGTTCATGGCTGCAGACGAGCGAGAGACCCCTCACTCGAGTCCTGCTATTTGATCTCACGCCCACGCACACTGGCACCCCCGAGCATCCTGACACTGGGAGACTCAGATTCCGAGGCCAGTTGCTGAGATTACAATTGGGCCGGGCTCGGCATAAGATCGCAGCCAAGCCGGGAAGATCTAGTCATTAGCGCAAGCTGATACCGATCTAGGTGTGAGAGGGGCGGATTGAGAGGGGTGGCTGCTGGAAGATGAGAGATGAAAAAACGAGAACGAATAGCTGCCAATGTTCACATTCACACTCACACCCACACTCGCATCATAGCCATGGTGTTGATTCGAGGAGGAGTGGGTGCCGTTCGAAGATGCCGACACTACTCCGTATAATGTTGTTGGATGATGATGGTGTGTGGTGTTGTTGATTGTCTAAAGTGGGCGGAGGCTGAAAGAATCCATTGGCGGAGGATGAATAATCCACTAAACCTTATTTAACCGTACATGGAGTTTATTAGAAGCATCTCAGCAACAATTCGCGATATCAAATCAATGTATTTCTCTTCTCACTCTTGGAACTGTTGCATCAGAGAACTCTTCATGACAGTGGTAAAAGCCAAACCGTCACAATATCCGAGGACGGTACAACCTCTGGAGGTACATGTACATTGGGGCAACGCAAACCAGCCCAAGTTACGCCAAACGGACATCCAGGACGGACCAGAGAGAACAGAAAGGATTAAAATCAATCAATAAACCAACAAATCCCTAATCAGCCCGATCTCGATCAAGCTTTCCGTCGTTCTTGCAATACACATTCTTCCATTTCGGACTGCAAAGGGGTTCCTCCGAATCGGACCCCGTCTCAACAAACAACTGGCTCGCATATCACCAGAAAAATCCACGCTAGATGAACACAAACGAAACTGCCCCCAAAAACCAAAAAGAAGTTCATAACTTTGTCAATAATCCCCACCCTTTTTGAATGCTCTTCAGATTCATTTCCCAATGACAGCCTTGCCGCCGCTTTCCGACTTCCCGTATCTCACTCGCGAGGAGTTCACCGCTGCTTGTCGCGCCCTAGTATCAAAAGTCGCTACTCTTCTCCAGCATGAAGACGATCTTACCACAAGCCTAGGTTGGACAAGTGTGAGGCTCGAAACCAAGGTATGTAATTTAAAGTGTTAGCTTCTTCTGAGCTGGAATTGTTTTCTGTAATTCCTAGGTCGTTCATCAGCTGGCTCGAGAATGGAAAGAACAAAAGAAACGACAGGCCAGTGCATGTGTGTGTGCACCTGTATTTGTGCTTGTCACTCCAGATGACCATGACTGCTTTTCTTGCAGATAATGGAAAAATTTCATATTCTTATTTACCTAGTGCCAGTAGTGAAGAAAAGGGAAAAGCTGGTACTTTATTTAAGTTGTTGTTTGGATGATAAGAACTAATTAAATTGGGAACGATTCCGGGAGTAATATCTATTTGTACAGGAAGGCGAGATAGTTTTGATAATCCAGAAGCAGCTCGACGACCCAGAGACTACTTCCCTGCAACATCTGAAACATGTGTGTGATACATTGCAGGAAGATGGAGAAAAGGATGACGATAATACGGCTGAGATTGTCGGGCGCGATGATGGTGATGACGTTGATGAGAATGATCCCGTTCGTATACACTCCACCCACGTAGTCTTCGCGCTCTCTTTTCAATGGAATGAAGACGGGGAAAAGACACGAAAAAGCAAAAGACCAAGCATCGTCGTTCACTGCGGAGTTGACTCTGACAATGTGCGTGGTACACAGGAAGAGCTCATTCGGCAGCCACGTTGCAGCTCCAAGTTGCAAGTAGAGTACAATATTATGCTATCCCCCACATACCAAGTCCCGATCCTGTATTTCTTCCTGCACAACATCAACAACAACAGCAGTGACATCTCTGCCAAGGGTCCAGATAGCCTTCTAGACGTTGTTTATAATTGTCTTGTCCCCGCTCAGCACCGATCGGTGCTAAAGGACGTTGGCATAATGGGCGGTCTGAGCATCGGGGTACGTTTGTTCGTGTACCATGTCTCTTCTCTCTATCCTCGTCTCTCTCTCTTGTCATGAGTCTTTCACCCAACCAATGTCCACTAAAGAAGGAAGAAGAGCAAAAAATAACGCTAACTAAACTGTAGCATCACCCACTCTCGGGCCTCCCGGTATACTTTGTTCACCCTTGCAACACCCCAGATGCATTGAGGGACGTAGCAGGGAATAAAGAAGTAGTAACCACGGAGACGTATCTGCTATTGTGGCTTGGCTTGGTGGGGAATTGCGTGGGCCTACATGTTCCGAGCAAGCTCCTTATCGAGACACGAAACCGGGAAGCCTCTTCAAAACTCATCCAGTCCTTTTCGGGAAAGAAAGGAGGAAGAGCGATCAAGAGGACCCCAGAGGAACACGTGTAATGCCCCGGTTTTCTTCTATTCATTTGGAGCGCGACATATCAAGTTCGGCCTGTGGGATAATTTTACTAGGTTTAATCTTCATCAGACGAGGCTTCCATAGACACGTCGCTTTCGTCTTCATCCATCGGCGCCTCGCCTTCACTCTCGTCTTCCTCACGGGGTCGTTTGACACCTTGGGGACCCTCGCTGGTGGGTCGCGATTCGGTCGCCGCAGGTGGTACTGTCATGCCAACGGAGACTACTGCCGAAGGGGGGCCATTGAAGATGGATTTTTGAAGCTCGGTAGACACGCCAGGCGCCGGGGCGGTAGTTGATGCGTTATAGGTACCTCGGAGCTTCGCGATTATATCTGAACTGCCTTTACCATACGCGATTTTCTGTTCGTCCCAGTGACGCTGATGAGCATATGTCCCTACCGCTTCCAATTTGGAGGCTTGAAAATAGTATTAATTTTGTACATACCATCTCCTTCCCAAAGAACTCAAAACCCTGCAATGCCCGCATAGCCTGAGTGCTGGCTTGAATATCTCTGAATACAACGTGAGCTTGGCCACGCATCTTTGCCGTTTTCATCGCAACAACGTCGAGAACGGTGCCATAAGTGGAGAAGAGCGTGTACAAGGCTAGTCGCAAGTCTGGCTTCTTCAGTTTGTCAGGAAGATTCGTGCAGTATAGACTGTATTATAGTCAGTAAATATCCCAACTAAACGGGTTGAAGGCGGGACATCGAGATCTGCTTAACTTACGTTCGGTTTGGAGCTCCCACATTGACCACCGCGGACGCAGGTTTGGTGGTCATTTTTTCGGAAAATTTTTGAACTTGGAGTATCTCCTTAAATGAAATGAAGGAAATTAAAACGCGATGCACATCAATTGGTTCGACAAATCCCAGTATCCGAAGGCGGATTTCTGTGCTGTTGCTGTTCTGCTTGTGGATGATGTTTGTGTGCAGAGAAAATCCAAAGAGCAGGCAGATCACCTGACCCCATTATCTAAGCAGCATCGTCCTTGTCCCCGCGCGATGAGAGATTAATGACATACAACATCTTGGAGAGACAGATTCAGATATAAACATACCCAAACACTGCGATAGTAGAGAGCTCCTCCTATCGCACTATTGATCGTTCCAACATGGCTACCCCCGAAGTGCACCATCTTTTTCACCACCCAATTGCCGACCACTCGTTCTCCGCTGACAAGCAGACGCTCGCCGTAGCCAAAGACAATGTCGTAGACTTATACCAGAAATCAGGCTCCAGTTATACCCTGAGTGATGAGCTCAAAGGCCACGACAAAACTGTGACAGGAGTGGACATTGCCCCCGGAAGTGGCAAGATTGTGACTTGTTCCCAAGGTCGGTAACCAAAACCCGCTATTACTGTTTGATCTTCGTTATAACTAAATATGTGTGTTTTATTGTCTAGATCGTAATGCATACGTCTGGGAATGTACTCCTACCGGATGGAAGCCAACACTTGTGCTTCTCCGTATTAATCGCGCTGCAACATTTGTCCGCTGGTCGCCGTCGGAGCAGAAATTCGCTGTGGGTTCTGGTGCGCGAGTAATAGCCGTCTGTTACTTCGAGGAGGAGAACGACTGGTGGATCTCGAAACACCTCAAGAAACCCATCCGAAGTACCATCACAACCTTGGCCTGGCACCCTAACTCAGTTCTACTTGCAGCTGGGTCCACAGATTCCCATGCAAGAGTGTTTTCCAGCTTCATCAAGGGCATCGATGAGCGCCCAGACCCGAGCGCTTGGGGAGAACGGCTGCCATTCAATACTGTTTGCGGTGAATTCCTAAATGATTCTGCTGGATGGATTCACGGATGTGCTTTTTCACCCAGTGGTAACTCCCTGGCGTTTACTGCCCACGATAGCAGCGTCACTGTTGTTTACCCGAGTGCACCCGATCAGCCTCCTAGAGCGATGCTCAATATTAGCACTAGGCTGCTACCCTTCATGAGTTTGATATGGAACGGAGAGAATGAGATTATTGCTGCTGGACATGTCAGAACCCCAATAACTATAAACTTCAAACGCCGAGTATTTTTGCTGACTGTAGTCTCTCAGGACTGCGAGGCATACCGTTTTAGCGGAGACGAAGCTGGCTGGCAGTTGGTGGGGCCAGTGGACGATAAGACACGGTCAGGAGCTGGTAGCGTCCGCGAAGAGAGTGCTCTAAACAAATTTCGCCAAATGGATATCAAAGGAAGTACCAAGAATGACACTCAACTCCAGACCGTACATCAAAATACGATCAGTACTCTTAGGGTTTATGAAGAAGCTGGAGGCAGAGTTCGGAAGTTTAGCAGTAAGTAATCAGTCATGTTTCATCATCTCTTTCTTTAGTATTCTTGGAAGACGGGCAACTAATACACTCCGAACTCAACAGCAAGCGGGGTGGATGGAAGAGTTGTTGTATGGGGCGTGTGATATATACATACACCGGTCAATGACAGATTAATGAAACTCTTTTATTTCTACCTTCTCAACTTTGGTTTTGCGCTTTATTTCCGTGCTATTGCTCAAAATATATGTGAGATGTATCACTGAAATATCTCACTACACCCCCAACTGCAATCAATACTTTTCGATGAATATGATACTTCGTCGCTCCATCTATATCTTTTCTTTCTGCTTTGATGTTTCTACGCTTTGTACTAAATTACCGCTGTTTCTCGCTTGTTTGGTATTCATGATCAGTTTCACAACTCTAGAGCTTGCTTGTTTTTACAAATACCCGCGTCAACTGGAAGCATCAAACACAGTCTCGACAACAGCGGAACTGGCGTTTTCGAATTACCTTGAACTTCTTCGTAGGTCCATTCACCTCTTCTCCCCATTTTAACTCTTTAAGAAATATGTACTTTGTTGGACCTTGTGCCTTTGCTTTCCACAGGTATATAAACCTTTCGCCGTGCCACCCTCCTAGCTGAAATTCTTCATACACTTCGACCTCTCTATCGCAGACTCTCCGTTCAATACTGCTTATACCCCCACGCAAATATCACCCATCACACAACGGGAGAAAGTGTTTCTTGCCTTATACCTCCAAGCGAATACGTCAGGCGATGATGGGGAACGCGAGAACCAAAAAGAATGATTCTCACCAAAACGGGGGCTTCCAGGAATTGTCATCACGACCTGTCACTGATAATAGTCCCGCTACAGTGCCAACCAGCGCATCCCAATCCTCACCCTTGAGGCTTCCCCCAATAGATCCGAGTAGGGCACAAGCTCCAGATAGGCGCCTACCACCTATATTTCCGCGCGCTGGGCCAATGGCCCAGCCTCAGAAACCTGCCCAATCCCTGCCAAACAATAGTAACGCCTACAACCCATCAGAAATATTCCCTACACGGCGAGCAGTCAGCCGTACCCACACTCTCCAATCAATATACCTTCGAGAAATAGAATTCCACTGTATCTGTGCCGCCCGCCGTTTCTGGGAAGCCCACCGTCCACAGCCGATGCTAAAGCTGGTCGTCCCGAATGCCGCCCGTCCCTCTCGACCATACTGTTCAGAGACACCCTGGCGGGGTATCAACATGCTCACGGACCCGGCGTTCCGGGACCTTCAGCAGCCCATCGCGAAAATATTTCGTGCCGCAGACCAGGTCATTGGAAATGATGATGGGCTGGGGCTACGAGAGTATCTGAGCTTGATCGCTGATTTGGATTGGGATATGGTTCGACAGCGACAATGTCAACAACATCTAACACAACGGGATCAGCAGCAGCGGCAGCAGGAGGCACGGCTCCAGCAAGCAGGGCAACAGCAGCTCCCTCCGTCCGGACGTCCTGGAAAACCAATGCTAATAACAGTTCCCCGGCCCACCTTCCCGCCGCCCAACAGCACCGTTGCCGATAATTCCAGACGGGCATACTCGGCACAATTCACAACTGTCCAGTTACTCGATGATTTATACACACGGTGCGAGGCCGTGATGAATGCGATACAAAAAGTGAACGTGGGTGATGGTGATAAAGAGCCAGTGGAGTTGAGTCTTGCAGAGCTTGAAGGGGTCGTTTCGTCGGCTCAAGGATTAGCTCTTTCACTGAATGGAACCTTAGAGCACCATGCCATTGGGGAGGTTTGGGCGAAGTGCCTTCAGTCAAGATATCCATGATTTTTGGTGAGTGAATGAATGGTAGTGGGACGATTCTTCAGGCTGGTAGAGAATTAGAGAAGAATGCGTGGTGGTCGGGTAGGGACCTGACAGACAGTGCGAGTGTCGAGGGTTATCTGTCTAACAATGTTTTGTTTTCCTTTTCCTTTTCCTTTTCCTTGTGCTTTTCCTTTCTATGCCTGATAGCCTCCTTTTTCCCCCTTTTCCTTCCTTGGTTTTCTACTCCCTTGCTTGCCTCCCCCTTTCCTTTTTTGGATGATTTAGTTTTATTTTTACATCTTATTTCCCGCCGGCGCGCAATGCTCCTGAAGAAATTGCGATATCACAACAAACAAAACACTCCTCGTAAACAGCCAATGTCGCATGTTAGCTCTTGTATTAGTCGGATGGAACTATGCTTCATACACCTATGGCTATCTACACTAGAGCCTTCATTCTCCAACTTCCTCATTGAGTTTACTGCATTGTCTGAGACTTATCTAGCGAGGGCCCTCGAGTAGTGATCCAACCAGGTATGGGGTTAGCTAGCGTACGAGCATGGCAAAATGTCCATGGGGATTCCATAAAGTCCGCCGCTGGAATTTAGTCCGCCACGGGATTCTTTGGCCTAACTCCGTCTCCAGAGAGAAAGACGGCCTTACTCTATTCGACTGAGAAGCCTATTGGATCCACAGGGCTCCTTACGTGGTTGGCAGACATCAAACCTCTTTGGCCTCTATCATAAAAACCTTCTAATAATTATCAATCTCAAAACGCCTCAAACATGTTTGGCCACCCATTCCGATTCCATGTCGGAGGACAAAATCGATGACCTGGGCCTCACCCGTGAAGGTCCCGTTCAGTAGGGCTCTGCACATGGCAAAACTAAGGAATAGGGAAATGGTAGCGGAAATTCGGAAGACGCCACTTCCTTTCATGGCCTCGGGAGTCTTCAGTGCCTCGTGGATGTTTTACCGACAGCCTGCAATGCCGAGATGGTTGGAAGCGTAGGCTTCCAAGTTCAAAGAGTGCGATATTTCGATATTACGATATTGCGATATTGTCACCGGGTCGGCATCCATGCGTAGCTGACGGAAGAAACCTGCGTGAACAGGGTTTGTTCCAGGAATAACTTGTTTACTCCCCTTTCCTAAACTCAACACCTATCAGTAACAAGTTCGCCAAAATATCTTGATATAGGGGAGACGGGCATCAGGAATTGGTAGTAATGGAATCCAACTATCCAAGCAGCGGGAGTTCGATATGATTATCACATGGTCCGCCCGAAATTTCAATTACGTCAATATTATAGGCGCTGTTGGCATTTGAACCCAACAGCACTCCTGTGATGGGCGATATCATTGACTGAGCTTGACACAGGAACAGTGCTTTCATTTTCCACTCACGAGTCCGAGGGGCAAGGTTTTTCGAAATACCCACGAATCCGAGCAAAGGTTTTGAGTTTTCGGTCAGAAATATTCACACAATGTCTCCAAGCCGAATTTGAGGTTCGCTCATGGTATATTCCTTGATTGCGGCCCCGGCCAGGGGCATGTGTAAGTGACCACTGCACCGGCTCTAGAGATGGTGCCGACGAGTGGCATTCAGGGGGGTTTGACAGCTCTTCGAAACATATTACCGAATAAGAAGCTAGACAGATGAGGAAAATCTTAAAGAATAAGTTACTTTCAACTGACTATATTAGTTCACAAAGCAGCATTCAAATCCCCCAGCGCGAATTCTTGCTGGGCATAGATGTATTCTTCGTACCTAGGTACACATGCGCTGCCTAGCAGAAACGCGATGAACCTGAGTATTCCATCATTTCTGTCTGTCACTCGGGTATCCTCGTATTCTCGCCTTGGGAAAGACAAGGCCATTATCAAGATTCCTCCAGCAAGAGCATAGGATATAAATACTCGTGCCGCTGCTTACTCACTCACCTCTAGTGAGTGCGCCACACCAAAACGATAAAAACACCGAAACGATAAAAATCAAGAATCACATCCTCATTATAGCTCTTTACATCAACAACCAGTAGCTAATCTATAATAAATAAATTATCTACATCATTCTCAGTATGCGTACCATCTCTAAATCGTTTCATTTCCTCCTCAGTTAGTGGTGGGAGTGAGTTGTTGCCAATTTTAATGGGACCAATCCCCTGTCTCCATCTCTCCTTATTCTGCTCTTTTTCTGCTTCATTCTCCCTACGCCGCATGATATTTCTATTTGCATCCTTTGGCTTCTGCTTCACCCTCTTATACTCAGGTAGGCGTTCAATGAACCTGTATGTCCACATCTTGCTGACTTTTGGGGGGGAGATAGTAGGATCTGTATGATCGCGTCTGAGGATTGAATTCGCGAAATCTTGAATGTGTTCGGCCGTGGGGGGGCAATTTTTTTCATCTAGCAGCTTGATCCATCGTTTAATCGCGTCCTCCTGGCTCTCATTTAACCTCTTGTTAACTGGCACCTTTGCAGTATTCGGATTCCTTCCATTGATACGCGCTCGGAGACGTTGATAGGGGACATTAAATTCTCGTGAAAGAGGTAGTATTTTGGATTTTGGATTTTTTTGATAGGCAGCGATGGCTTGCTGGATACGCTCTTCAATATTTTCATCTTTATTCAACATTGTGGTGGTTATTAATTAATTAATGAAGATGAAGATGGTGAGTGAGTAAGCAGCGGCACGAGGAGTTTCTAGATTGTTCAATTCCAACATCTCGAAATACCTCGAAATATCTTCTTCCGGCGCCGTCAGCCGCCAAGCGAGGTCATCCCATATGGTGTAGTGGCTAACATCAGCGTCTCTCACACGCTAGCCGGGGGTTCGATTCCCCCTATGGGAGAAGTCTGTTTTCTTTTTTTCTTTTTTTTTTTCTTTTTTTTTTTTCCTTCTTCTCTTCCTGATCTACGTACGATATATATTATTTATTATATTGCAGAGAACCTCTAGCTACATTATAATTCTGTTGATCATCCCAGGTAGGTAGAAATAACTGCTTATCTATCTATCTCACAACAATGTTGTACAGCATCATACAGAGTAGCATTCTGTGCAAAGCAAGCCATTTGTCAATTCCCTGAAATCTGCAGCATACTTATCTTGAAGACAGCAAAACTCACCTATGTATGGTCTAAAGGAGTTCTTGGAAACAGAGATTTTGGAGCTGATACTAACTTGCCAGAAATCATACTGCTCTGTGCAACTACGGACTTTCAGGCGGGGTAGTTATAGCAATGATGTTATCTCAACATCTCCCTGAATACGGACAACGGGACTCGATGGAAGAAGGGGAGCGTATTTGGAATATTTAGAACCTGGTTAGTCTCAACGGCATGAACCGTCTTTCAATATTTAATAAAAAAGACCATAACAAGGTAGAAAAACAAATATAGAAAAGAGGACTACTACCAGCACTTTGAATAACTACATTAATTACCCCCTTCCTGGGCAATGGCTGAAGGCTTAAGTTAGTTAACTAACTTAGCCTCTGGCTGGCCAAAAGCCTTCCGGCTGGGCATTATTTCATGACAACCTGACATAAGTGAGTTGAGTTAACTTAGTGAGAGTTAGTGCGAAATAATCGAACTGCCGGCGCGAGAAGATCTTCGTCCAAAGATAGCTCTCATAGTGTTTATAGTCTCCCGGCGATAGCTTCAACGCAGGTCAGCTCAGGTCAGGCCAGGGCTCCACAGAATTGCCAAGGGCGGGGTTCAAACTTCGGGCAAATATTGTGTTGTCCCGTACGGAGTAACTACTCTGTACTCTGTACATACATACATATAACTATACTATACTACAGACAGCGTATGCGGCCGAACGAAGAATAAGCAATTAGAGATGGGATAAGGCACCACTAACGAAAAAAAAGTTTAAAAAAAATAAATGGGGGGTACACATGGTAATGAATATGAGAGGAGATTCAATTATATATTACTTCTCGTTATATACATATATATATGCATAGTGGCAGACTGAAAGCACGAAAATGATAACTGGTCAAGCGACAAGATATTTGCGAGTAAAAAATCTGAGTTTCTGGTCCAGAGTACCCAATGTTGCCTAAACTCCAAGAACACTATCCATATTCCACAGGATTGTTCTCAGCCTGGGCTATTAGTCTAAAATAAGTAATGAATGCATAGATCGACACCGCTAATCTGAAAGTCCAATGCAAGGTGTCATGAAGTGCAACGAAATCGAACTAACGGAGAGGAAAAGAATAAAAATAAAGCTAAAAACTAAAAAGTAAAAGTAAAGGAAAAGAAAAAACAAAACGAGAAAATTTTGGATCACACGACAACGGGCCAGCCGCTGGAAAAATCAAGACGATTCCATCCAATGAGTTGCTCAGCGTTCGACCACCCGATGTCGGTATTTGTATAGTGATAATAGAGCACCGGACCATATTCTGGCGTTGTCATGATTCCCCTGTTCAAGAAAAGGGTTAGTTTTGATCATTCGCCTTCACTCGACGTACGCTTATCGCCGGTTGGTTTATTCGTTGCAAAGGGACAGCAACTAGAAAAGGATGAAAAAAAAAGAGTGATGAGGGGTGTATGAAGAACTTACTGGCCACCGGGTCCGAATATGTTATCATGGCTTGCGAGGACGGTCATGCCTCCACCTTCAGTACATGGACGTCCATCGGAACCAACCTAGGATTGGAATCAGCGAATCAGCTATATTCTTAAATAGAGGAGGGGAGGGGGAAAAAGAAAGAGAGATCAGGGAACGAAAGCTAAGGAAAATAACTGGGGAAAGACTCACAAACGGGCCAGACGGCATAGGTGACCGGCAAACTTTGATACGATACTCTTCGCCTGGGGCAGGGGGGGAAATATCATAATCGCCAGCCTTACCCCAGGAAAAGAAGAGATAGTAATCGTTATGATGCCGGTAAAGGAAGGCAGCCTCAATGTGATGATTCCAGCCTGGCTCGTAGGCGAGGTTGACCGCTGAAGACAGCGGCGCTGTTCTGGTCCCATCATTATTCATCCCCACCTGGAAGAGACCGCCCCAGTAAGACCCGAAATTGAAGCGGAGTGAGCCATCTGCATCCTCAAAGAGGTTGCCGTCGATGGCATTGTAGTTATCGCGCTCGGAGGTCTGTACACCGACGGAGCCATGATCGGTCCAAGAACCTGGCTCCATGGTTCGAGAGGTTGCAAGGCCAATGGCAGAATTGCGCGAACCAAGCGTTGACACCGAGTAATAAACATGGTATTCGTCGTGAACCTTATAAACGTCGGGAGCCTGCATGTGGGTCAACAACTAAAACTCTTATGTTTTTCGCGTTTACACCATTCCCGAGATCCTCCCAAGCTATCAAACAAACTCACCCAAAGATCGCGCCTTCCTGGGAGGTTAATCGATGAACCCTGCGGGAGCATAGATCTGGGCGCTGACCACGGCCCCTCCATCGAGGGAGCAGACGAGATGGATATCCCATTGTAAGACTGGAAGCGGAAATATCGCCCGTCTGCTCGACGGATGAAACCCGGGTCACGGCCGTTGCAAGCGCCGCGACACGGTTCTGGATGAGGAACTGCTTTAACTGGCGCCCAAAAGAGTAGCGGGATAAGCAAGAGCGATCGGAGCGACGGCATGGTGGGCATATTCGCAATAGAGCTGTGGATTTGAAGGTAGAAGATGAATAGAAGATATTGATAGAATTTCTAGTAGCGAAAAAAACGAGAAAGGAAATCGCGACTTTAAAAAGAAAAAGATAATAAACCTTAAAACTAGAGATCCATATTGACGCCAAGGATTCTATGGAATGCCGGTCAGCTTCATCTGTTCAGCTGGTCAAACTTTTTATGGGGAAACTTGTTGACGGCCTTTCGAGTATAGCCTGCCGAGCAGCCTAGCGCGAGTAAAGGCGCAAATAACATTTGCGAAAGCAAAGAAAGTTGTACCCAAAAAGCGTCTTTGGGTAACTAGCTTTATCGAAAAATCCCAGATCTCGGCACCACTTCATTGCTTGGCCGAGAACCAAATATGCCCAAACTCCGCGTTAGGATGGTTTTCGCTGTCAGGCATTGTCAGAGCTCCGAGGGGAAACCTCTGCATAAGCCACTTTGGAGAAAAAAAAAAAAAAAAAAAGGCATTTCACTGAGGAGTGTGCTTCGCGCAAGTGATCACTGTAAGAACTGCGCTAGCCAACGGAGCGTTGGAGAGGCAAGTCCCAATTAAATCGGCCGATGAAGGTTAATGAGAGGCTATGATTTGCGGGTGTTGTCAGCCTCAGCCGACAATATAGCCGATTGCCGAATGGGGACGGGCGGGGTGGTCGCCCGGGTCGGTATTGGGAAAAGGTAACATGAAGGAAATGCGCGGGAGAATGTCATTGCAGAGAGTTCAGCATGTCTCTGGGCTCCTTGTCTGGAAGCTCGACACCGCAGTTTTTGTTTCCCTCCAAGCAAGCCGGGGTGGAGTGGTGAAGCAGAGCCAAGACGGAAACACAGAAAACACATCATCTGGCTGCATTGGTCATACTCATCCCCATCTCAAGGCAAGGCTCCCGCATATCCAGTTAAAAGTGCCAGGAGCTCGGTCACAGTTTGCCAAATGTTGGGGTAGCAACTTGATTGCCACCGGGTGGCATGTGTCATTGGGTGTCATTCCCAGGTGTCATGACAAGTTCGACAGATTCCTGCCTGGTTTCCTTGTCTTATTGTTTCACTCACCCCTGCACCACACGCTCAATTCATCCACAGTTCGTTTTGAAGCTGAGGTTACTCCCCCAGAGGAAATGCGATGTGCGATGGAGCCCGAGATATGATGTGCAAAATTAGTGCTGGCCCTAGGGAGTGCAAGCTAGCAGCGCTCTTCTCCACATCGGTCTTTTTCTTCACCAAATGAACCCAAAAATCACATGATATCAATCAAGATATTGGCTGAATGCTAGACAGCATGGAGAGAAACAACTTTAAATATGTAATTAACCAGTTAACCAAAAGTATTGTTGATGTTGCCGTCAAGATCGTTATATATGCCAAAATTTTAGAAATGGGGTATTTAGTTAACCCAATGTGTGTCAAAAAAAAAAAAAAAAAAAGGCACCAACGTACGTTGCACATGGGTATAGAATAAAAAAGAGAAAAGGAACCCGCAAAACCAAGAATAGGAAAGGAAACGAAAGGAAAAAAGGAAAAAAGGCAAAAAGGAAGCTACAGATGAAGAAAATTCCCCAAATCCGAAAAATCCCGAAAAATCCCGGATCAAAATTATCAATCACTACAGGTTAACTCAACCCACTTGCAGCACCATCACACCGGCTCTCTCCCCGCCAACTCTTCCACGGCCACTTCCACTTCCACTTCCACTTCCACTTCCACGGCAATTTCCAACCACCATGGTCACCGGGACGCTTCCCACTCCAATTGGGCGATGGCAAACAGACCCCCAACCGCCAAAAGTAATCGCGGTGTGCAAACAGCAGTTCCCACAACCGATAGCGGTGAGGAATAAGGTTCCATTGTGTCAAATCTCGCTTGACGTCATTACCATCGCTTTGCACTCTGACCAGCATCCGATCCCCGATCGGGTTCGGCCCGGACGGCAACAATGGTTGCTGATGATGCTGACGTTGCTGGCTAATAGATACAGCGGTGTCCATAGTCACATCGTTGTCTTCTTCTATGTAAGCATAGTCGTAAGCCCCAATGCGCCCGGCCGAAGATGCCGAGGATGATGACAGGGTTAAGGCGAGTAAGTAGCTTTTGCCAGCCGCTTCAGATCCAGCGATGCATTCTGGATCCGCGTCGCCGATGCAATGCTGCAGGTCGGAGATGTCAGGAGGTAAATCTGGCTTTAATATATATATCTCGCCCGCGTGAGGTCGGTAACCCCACTCAGAAAGGGGCAACAGGGGGACTGGGTCATTGACGTGCGTGACGCGGTGGTAGGAGGAGGTCTTGTTGTGGTAATTCTTCGTATTCCGCTTAATGTCGCCGTTTGTTGCGCGGTCGTAACCCGATGACGATAACGACGAATTTTTCAGATGGAATACCGCATCAATATATTCTACCAGCCCTTGGTTTCCCACTCTCGGCTCCCCAAACGTCGTCACCTGCGGCTGCCAACCCCGAACCTGAAACTCGAGACCGGCAAGGGCAGCAACCGCCCCCCCCAACGAGTGTCCCACCAGAACAAGTTGGTAATCTGGATATTTCACCATCGTTCGTTTCAGAGGGTCTAGCAATGTGCGTCTAGCGCTCTTCCATGACTCCATGAATCCGGCATGGACGGTGCAGTTATTACAGCGAGGCTGGTGAGGATCTGTGGGGTTATTAGCCGGGTATGGGGTGTAGATCTGGGGGATAGCAGAGAGGTCCACGATAGTGTTTGCAATCGAGTAGGTGCCGCGGAATCCGATGATGATGCGTTTGGGCCATGGTGGGTGGGAGAGGACAACGAAGCCGCACGAGTCGGAGAGAAACGGGCCCGTGTTCCAGGTCTGGAATGCGATATTGTGATTAGTGAATCGTAGCAAAGATATATGTAGCAAAAGACACGGCAAAGTGTATTCTTTGCGAAAACAGTTGATATTGCTCTGGAGTTCGAAGTAGGGCATACCGTAACTAGTTCAAATCCTTCGAATTCATGACACCGTCCCGCGCAAGTGAACGGTTTGTACACGCCCGTCGTCCCAACGCAATATGTTATATCAACAATACGGGAGAGCTCCTCGAGCGAGGAGAATAATTCTTTCGACACCGTGCGGGCCTTCTGAGAGCTCCGTGAAGTGTCGTCATTATAGTCAGGACGATGACTAGGCAGAGCTGAAGTGGAGGTGCTGTAGAGAAACGCGGAGAGGATGAAGATAAGCCATGACCTCATTGTGTTAGGGGTGGAAGTAGTAAATATGATATTCTGGAATCTCTTCGAGTGATGTTGATCGCAACTGCGCATCTCACACGACCTAACTGTCTCGGTCATGTGACGTAATCCAAACTTTAACCAGGAGTAACATATGAAACCTGGAATCCGGCCAAGACTGCTAGATAATAAGATAAATAAATAGACGAATATTGATAAATACATATATATACGTATGTGGCTTAACACCCAAAATAATTGTCATCAAAAATGTCCGGAAATATCAACTCACAAAGAAAACAACAAGGAAAAATTGTTCGAATGCAAGCTAGGATGAGAAAATGCAACAGAAAACCTATACCTTCCCCCAAAAGAGTCCACATCTTCGCGCGAAAATCAAAATATATCTCCAAAAACAACCGTATATATAATCCATGTAGAATGCCATAGTCCGGCTAAGAGATTACCTCCCAAAGTCCAAACTTGGCACGATAACCGGTCCAAACTTGACAACATTCCCATAAGCACCTTCCCCTTGCACCAAGAAATCCACCGCAAGACTCAACTTAGGAAACGCGCCGGACGCCGACATCATCCCCGGCGTCGTCGGGCTCATCAGCCCATAATTTGACTGCACATTGTCTGGATCATATCCCACGATAGCCACGTAATTACGGCGGCCCATGAGTTTGCGGTGTTCGCGTGGTTGGCCCGTCACGTCCGTCTGGAAGATTTCCATCATGTCTTCCTTTGTGTCTGTGACGGCGCCCGGAGCGAGTCGTTTGCCGTTGGCAGGGATATAGAGTGGTTTGTTTCCTCCGTGTAGGAGTTTCATGACGTAAGATGGTGGTGGAGTGTTGACGACAGAGGAGGAGATTATTTGGTACATGGTCTTATGGTCGGTTGGGTGGGAGGGGTCGTGGACGAGGCCGGCGCCGCAGCAGTTTACTGCTCCAGAGAGGAAGGTCATCCGGATATTCTTCTGATGGGAGATCCCTTGGAGGGTGCGGATCAGATAGGTTCGTTCAAGATCCTGGGAGGGTCAAGTCAATAAATATGTCATCGTGTCGTGAGTTACTGAGGGTGAGAAATTTACCTTCGAGTCGTGAGTCCACTGATCCCGCAGCTCATCAAGAAGCTCGATTTCACCAAATGGGTTCAAGACGCTGCCCATCAGTCCAGACTTGCCAACAGCTCTCTTTACAGAGTTGAATCCAGAGCCCACGGCGTTCTTAGCACCTACGACACCAGCAACGGAGCTGGTCACTTTACCAAGAACATTGTAGGCTCCAGTAACGGCCTTTTTGCCAGTGGCTATGGTCTGCGCGAGGTGTTCCGTAGATTCCAACCGCGGGTAAATAGGCGGGACAGAAATCATCCAGATGCAATGTTGCACGCTTGGAGGAAGCATTGTAATCTTAGGGAAGATCCCCTGATAGGTAGGTCCCGCCATGACTTGATGGGGGTTCCTTTCTGAACGGCAATCAGGCCCTACCACAGCGACGGCGGGGCCCAGGAATTTGATAAAATGCCAGCCTGTTCCAGTTATAGTAAAAAGGTCCATATCGTCGTTCGCATGACGTAAAATCTCCAGTGTTGTATGGTGCTGGAAAAGGAGGTACATCTCGATTCCTATTCTGCCAATATTCTTGAACATATTCGAGAATTGCATGTGATCCGGGTATGAACCAAACCCGTCGAAGCTGAAAAAAGAAATTATGTCAGAAATCGTGGGGAAATTAAACTGCGTGATATATCGGATTGGGAGGAAAACATACATATCATGATCATCAACTTGCAATACGTGAGGGATCTGAGCATATGCTTCTCGCAGGTGCGGTTGATCAAAGTGACTTGTATAATAATGGAAATACGCATGTGTAGCATCCTCCTCATGGGCGGCGGTCCACACTGCGCTTTTCCTCTGCTCCTTGCCGCTGATAGTAAGCCATTGTTTGAGCGATGGGACCTCTTTCCAAATTCGGTCAGCGTTGATCTGACTTCCAAGTCCAAGGTGGACATGGAATCCGCCACACTCTGTATGCTTCTGCATAATGTCTTTCCACATGTATCCAGCGCCACCAAGGCGAGCCCTCTCATTCGCACTGACGCTAAGGGAGAAGTCATTTCCAGAAGTCGCTATGAAACGCCAGTTCGTCTCGTTCTGACCTGCGACGAGGAATTCATATCTCGTGCATCCAAGGTGCGAGGTGATCGCATATGTCCACTTCGCAGGGTACTCTTCCATTGTAAGATCGATATTGTATTTGTAAAACGTCCATCGCTGGTGTGTTGAAATCGAAAATCCCTTAAGTTGTCTCGGGTTTGGAGAGAGGTCTACGCTCTGATGAATATGGATCGTTGGTGGCTGGGGGCCATCAGTCACCAGTAGAATTGAGCCCAGCCAGAGTCCACGTTCCATATCCATGTTCGTATAGCGAAGATAAGGGCCGAAGTACACTCCATTGGTTGGCGCAACCTTATACAATTCGACACCGCTGGCGGGGGGTGGGCCGGTGAATCCCGTACTCATACTCATAACGCTGCCCTCATATCCGGGTGTCATGGGGAGACCCGGTGATCCTAGTGGATGCCCAAAGGTGGATAGTCCTGGCGATGCCAGTGGGTTAGGCCCAAACGTTGAAAGGCCCGGGGAAGCAATGGGGTGGCCGCCGAAAGTGCTTACTCCGGGTGACATTGGTTCATTTAGGTTAAGAGGAGTTGGCCCCTTTGGAAACTCCCATTGAGTAGATTGAGTGGGGAGGTGAATGTAATAGTATTGTCCGGAATTGGGATCCAGGTGTGCGATCCAGCCTTCTGGGAGAGGAGGAGGGGAAGCTGGGGAGGGTCCAGGAGGCGCGGGAGAGCCGTTAATGGGAGTGGGATGGACGCCAGGGTGTCCATTTTGGAGATTGGGTTGCGAAGCACCAGGATCCGCTTGTCTGGGATCATTGGCAAACGCTGGGTGGCCTTGGGTATTAGGAGCGGGAGGAGTGTGTGAATGTGGAGCCATGGTGGAAGGTGTCATAGCTCCAGTGCTCATCGGGTTCATTGAAAAGGGATGAGCACCAGCGACAAGGCCTTGCTTCTCATTCTGGAAACTATGGGGCGCAGAGCCACCAGGACCTGGCCCACCAAGGCTGGAGTATGCGGGAGGAGGAGAGGCAGTCATATTCAATCTCTGGAAATCTTCCTCCAGTGGATTATGGTTCTGAGTGTAGCCGGCAGGGTGGCCAGGGGGTGGATGGTTGTCTGCGCCTGAGGTCTGCGGAGGAGGTCCGGATGTGGGAACGGGCCCCTGGTATACGGTTGGAGGTCCATGCGGTTGAGTACCGGGAAGTTCCGTGGGAGTCCATGGTCTTGGAGTCGGGTTCTGAGGCTGGGCGAGGTGTGTTGTTTGTGTTTGGGGAGCAGCATACTGCTGGGCACGCTGTTGCGCGGCAACACTCTGCGCCTGTAGATTGCTGAGAGTCGATGTGCCTGCAATTCCCGCTGCAGCGTACCGGGACTCAATATCTGAGCGACCTGGAGGCACAATGGGGGTTTCTGGAGGTGGAGGAGAGCCGCGGTTTGCTTTGGTTGTTGAGGTCGAGGCGGTAGAGCCTAGTCGGTTAACCGAATGGGTTGGTTGTGGTGTTGTTAGGTTCGACGAGGTTGAAGACGACGCGTTACCCTGTGCAGTCCAGTATTGCTGGTGGAACTCGGGATACGGGTTCACCTCCGTAGAGGGCTTTCTCCGTTGCCCTGGCATGCCTCCGGTGTTGGCGCGTCCTCCCACTGGATGCTGCGGAGCTTTCTGGAACAATCCTTCTTTATCTGACGTTTGAAGTATTGGTGATTCCGGTAGGGGCTTTGGACCGGTAGTTCCTCTCCTCTCCGCTAGGCTCGACTGGGCTGTCTTCGAATCTCGTCTTTCCCGTGGCCGCAAAGAAGCAGGGATATCAGCGGGACTCGATCCTCCTGAACCGGAATGAAGAGGTGAGGAGGGTTTGGACGATTGTTTTACAGTGGAGGACGACTGATCACGGTCAGGGTAAGGCGGCCTAGAATTGGAGGGGCTAAAGGAATGCATATGAGGTGGCTTCGAACGGTCGTTAGGGTAGGGCAGGGGGTTATGCGGAGGAGGGCTCTGAGGAGGTGGGTTAAAAGCTGAAGGCTGGGTAGTATTGCCGGCAGTTGGGCCGGGGGACGGGGTATCCCGTTTAATAATCCTCAACGGGGAGACAGTTGGGGGGTCGCGGTCAGATGGAGAGGTGAGAAACATCTCGTCGTGTTGGTCCTTTCCATGGCGACTCATGGCGGGCGGACTGGCGCTGGTCGCAAGGAGGATAAAAGGTGTGTCTCAAAGCTCTAAGTAGCTATAGACTAGGCTCGAGAAGTAGCACAGAATGTTTATTTATAGCGATTTCGCACAGCGGAGATTTCTGCAGAATGCAGGTTGTTGCTGGCGCTTGGAGATGGTCTGAGGGGAAACGGAGCAAATGACCAGGGTAAGTGGGGTGGATGATGGTAGTTATGCGGGCTATCAGGACCTTGTAAGCGGTTTGCTAGATGCAGAACGTTGCATAGGCACGAGATGGAGATGTATACCAAGGGTTTCACAGGATATCAACCCAACAACAGGTTGGATATATATATTGTCCCATATCAAGGTAGAAAGAACACGGAAAGAGATGAAGGCGAAAGAAAGAAGAGAGGGAAAAAGAAGGGGAGGGCGAAGATGAAGAAATCGGAAGAAGTTGAGGAAGAGACGGAGGCTGATGGATGGTATGTGCTCCGTATGGTATGGGGGAATACGGCCTCCATACGAGACCGCGCGGGGCTGAGAGAGGCAGGCATTGGCAGCGCGAATAATACAGAAATGACGTCTCCAGTTACCGTTTCCGCCGCCACAATATTGGCCCTGGATATCTCCACCCCACCTGGTTCGAGATTTGGGCATCAACATTTCAGCGGGTTAGAATATCCTGCCACTGGAGATAAAGAAGGAAGAAAAATGATTAGCAGCAGTTCTTCGATTCGACATTCTATAATTACTAGAAAACGTCTTTCCCGTTGCTTCTAACCCCAATCGAAGCTTATCGGAGCCGACTGCGGCTGTTCCATGGTTGGGCTGGGCGGGGTGCCCGTGTGTACCGTATTATTGTCCTGACCGTACCTGACCGTACCTGAACTTACCTGAACTTACCTGACCTTACATCTCCAGCCAATCACGTGCTGCCATTGCTTGCTCAACGTCTCTCCTAAGCGCCAGGAGGAAACAAATGTGCGAGTTTGTGATAGCTGAAGTGGAACAACAACACCCGGCGCTTGTCAAGACGAGCAGTTGCGGGCCATCATTGGTTTGTTTCGTGGTCCAAGACATGATGCGGCGTCCTCTGCAGCGGGATCACACCCAGGCCCGCAGATTTCAGGGGTATATGTTGGGAAATATTGCTACCATCATCATTGCTATAGTATCATACCCTGAACCTATCATACCTACAGCTGGACATTGCAGGGGCTTTATGCAACCTTTGATCAGTTGTTTTCTATTATCAAGAGCTGCCAATGGCCTGCAAGCGCCTGGTTATGTTGGAACCTAACAAATAGTACGAGTTGAAGGACTTTTTGTGCTAGGACCTTCGATGGGACCAAGTTGGATGTTAGGGATGCGGGCTATTTCAACCACACAGCAGCAGGGTACTTTTTCCAACCGCCTACGGAGTACACAGGACATCTAACCACTATATATTTGAGGATTAGGTCCATAGTCCATCTATGAATCACTCCTCCCGAGGCAGGCAGCCGGATTCAAACTTTAGTCTCGCAGCCATACTAGCTTCCGCAGAAAGCCAGTGCATACGCTATAAGTTTGTAGAGGTTTTGATGGGGAATCAATTCATTTCCACTGGGGATGCCCTTATTGCCTTGAGCCTTTTCTTATTAGAGGCCAGGAAATCTTCGAGATCACATAGAAGGACACACTGTAAGCTATCTTACATGACATTAGGGTCTATGCAATATTGCTTGCGGCTAAATTAGTATATTTACACAGGGATTGGTATAACGGAGGGAAGCGGCAGTTTTGTACTGATGGGAATTGCGGCCTTATGAAGGAAAAAAAATGTAAAAATAAAAATAATAAAATAAAATAAAAATAAGAGCTGAACTAGACCACTATTTGGACTATTGGGGTGGTTAAGGGCGAAACGCAGAGAAAACTCCAACGCTGTAAATTGATTTAGAGATTGGGCAGTCAAAAGAGTTGGGTATAAGCTAGAATAGTAAAATGAATTCGGCGGATGAACGACGATGGGAACAAAGGGATGAGAGGAAATTGACAAGAGAATAAAACACAATCGTAAAAACAACAAGCCAGAAAATCTCATAATCCATCAGAAGATTCATAGCCCAAAATTCACCATCTGCAATCCCTGCTCAATCATAATCTCCACCCAGTCCACATCCAACGCATGCCCCTTGCGCATATATCCCTCCGTCTGCCTCTGATACACAATCTGCAGCACATGCCTCGTCGTCGTCACATTGCGGCCCACAGATTCATTCCCCTCAATGCTAGAAAGTAGATCTAGTGCGAGCATTTTCTGCGAGCTGGACGAGGACGCCACGCCCGCCATGAACAGCGGGAAGACTATGAAGCGCAAATCGAAGCGGCCTGCATGCACGATACTGGAGGCTACGTGGAGGACGGCAGTGGTACGTTGGGAGATTTCGAGCGCGGGCCCGCCGCCGGTTTCGATGCATTGGCCCGGCCACATGCTGGTGTAGGAGTAGATGAGACTGGCGTGGAAGAGGGTTGTGGACTGTTAATAAAGGAACGGGGACGTTAGTTGGCACTGTTGCGGCTCTAGATAAATTTTGTCTGTGGACGGGGGCGAGGGAAGTGGGGGGTTAACGGACATGTTGAAGCATCTCCTTCGATCGACTGGGTAGTAAATCCATTTGTTGCTCCAGGATGGATAAATTGGAAGTGACCCATAAATGTCGAAATGCTTGCTGGATTCGGAAAAGGCGCTTTTCCCTATCAGCGGGGATTTGCGGCGGAAATCCATGAGAGCTATTTGAACTTGTAGTATTCATCGCTGTTCCGTTTGCGTAGGTGCTCTGGGAGCGGAATTCCGATGCCAGCAGGCCTAGTCGTGCTGCTAGGACGAAGATGTCATGGTTAATCTGTAAGACGGTAGGAAGAATATCTCTTTCCTCAGGGTAGATGATGCTTGTCCCGTCCGGGCCAAGCGGGTAGAGGTGGAATGTTGGAGGCGGGATCATGTCGTTTTCCAAGACCGCTCCGATGAATTCTCCCGTTCCAGTGCCGCTAAATAACGCATATAAATCAATCGAGCAAACCCACCAGATAATAAAGGGAAATTTCTCTGTTTTGAAAAGTTCGTTTCGCATTAGGAATATTCGTAGCAGCCGCTCGAGATGATGGGACCAGAGGTTGGATCCTCCTGGTTCCGCTGCGGCTATCTGATATTTAACTTTAGAAAGCAGGTTCTCTTAGGTAGATGGGTAATAATGGGAGTGAATGGCGGGCTACCTCGTAAATCAGAAGTAAGAAATGGGTCAGGAATACTCCATCCGAGGAGAGATCCTGATGGCTGCGCATACTGGTTTGTAGGAAAGGTAGGGTTTGCTGATAGTGCTGTAGAGCAGCGATACTTTGGCCTTTCTCTTGATGGGACAAGCTTAAAGCAGAAACGGCCATCATGGCATGGAATAACTATGAGAGGAGAGTTAGTATGCTGGCTGGAGGACATCCAAACGAGGAAAAAGTACTTGATTCGACAGGTATATTTACCGGACGAAAAGTGGCAGCCTCCTGCTCGAAGATATCTGCTCCAGGGGCATTTCCAACGCCGTGGGGGGGGGATTCAGAACGAGTAGCTGTTTGCACGAGATGACTCCAGACCACTCTCCTAAAATGCAAAAGTAGCCTCGTATCCTCCCCATACTGTTCCGTAGTATCTATATAAGACTGACTAAATGTTTCCATAAAGTCCCGGATAGGAGCTTCATCAACCAATTCAGTCGAGGACTTGGAACCAGATGTACTCGACCTCGATGGTGAGGGCCTCATGCTACTTCTCCAGTGGCCAGGCGACGAGATTGGTATGGAATCTTCGAATTTCGAGAGAATCACTACATTCGGGTCACCCGTTTCTGTTAACGAAGAATTATGCCTATTGTGTCTTCTGTTTCTCTTCCCATTCCTAGCCTTGAGGGTATCATCCTTATCAGACCCAGAAGAACTCGACATAGACGTGTTATCTGTGGTGTCGGAATATTCAGGCAAAGCCGAGAAACTCTCCGGATTCACAATAACATGATAGGTACCGGGAGAATAAGCCTCTGCTTTCATTTCTCTCTCCAAGTCTGAGGTTAAGCACGCGAACGGGGGCAGCGTATCTCCTCCTATGGACGAGTTGGGGCTACTCGCGGTCAGAGTTGGTGATTTTGCTACCAGTAAGTTACTTATTAGCCGTATGAACGACTGCAAAATGAACTGTAAGATGTAGAAAACAGTGTGTAGCCGTAGAACATACGATCCCAGACTGCATTTCCAGCAGTGGAAACTGCTTGCATCCGCTGTTTGATTCTGGATGTATCGTCCCGAAACGCTAGCCTTGGGCTATAATCGCACTCATGTCCGAGTCTTGAGCATTGCTAGAGCGTGGTTTTAATATCTAGTCGCAAGAATTCGGTATCTCTCTATGCCGGGTTCAACAACTTACACCACAGGTAGGATGTCCTTCGTCACATTTTACTTAGGATAACAATCAGTAAACCGCTTCGTTGATATATAGCTCGATATATTTGACAAACACTCACCTTTGCGGCTCTTTGCAATGGAAAAACAATGTAGTTAGCAGCGAAATTCGGTAGTCACGGGTTGTGACAGGTTGATATAACTCACTCTACAGGTCCTGAACAGAGCATTAATGTTAGAAAGGTACAACAGGAGAAAGTATTTAGGTTGCACAGGTCATGTAGAGCTTTCACATGAGTAAATAGTATGTACAGCCAGGAGAATCAGCTTACCAGCAGCCAGTCCTCGATCTAGGCGGCAGGCGGACTCGAACAGGCATTTTCACCTTCTGCTCGTCCCTGTTCGCAAGCTTAACCCCCGACTCCGCCGATTTAACAACATCATCTTTCGGCGCAATAAGTGGCAAGTGCGCGACGTGCTTTGATGAAGGCATCGTTCGTCCGTCTGGCAGCACAGCAGACCAAAGGCATGGGATCAGCTCGCATATATGTACGCCGTTGTCCTGCTTAGTTGTTCCTTTTCCTTCTTATCTCATGTCCAGTCTTCCCTTGTTCCCTCTCTCCTTTGCTTCTTCTAGATACGAGGTCGTGTAGTCGAGTTGAGAAAGTTCAGGGCCTAGGCATAGCAATAACAACTGACTATCACAAAAATTTTTTGACAAGGGTACATATATCAATCAAAGGGACCCGTGAAGAGAACAATGGCGAGGCTAAACTGATAATAGAGTGGGCATCCCTGTATGTATCCGAATAGCTCACGAATTTGCTTCTCAAAATCACTCTAGGGGCCAGCAAATCGAACGGGCATCAGCCGAGATTGAGAGTATGTTGAGGATAATTCTGGGTCCACTTGATGTCAAGTAGCAACAGATCGCAACCATGAGCTTCAGGCATTGAAAAAGAGTGGAGGGCATATATGTATACGAGTAGATTAAGGAGTAACGGGTTTCGAATTAAAGCAAGGACGGTGAAAAATAAACTCCGGCAGGAATATGCATATGCGTATGCGTGCAAAAAAGCTCTGGCAGGAATAATTAAACAGAAACTCTCTTTGTTTCACAATATGAAAAGAAATACTAGGAGCTAGAAAGAGAATGATGAGTGAAATGTCCCGTATGAAGCTTTCAGTGGCGGATTCACAAAAAGTAGCCAAAATATATAACGTTACTCCTATGTAGCAAGCTGGACCAGAGCAGGGGCCTCTCGGATATATAGATAGAGAATGAAACGGTTTATATATAAATATAACATGCTTCTCGTGCATTTTTCAGGTTTCGAAGCTAGCGGCCGCGGGAACTAGGCAAAGCGAATACCAAGAGGAGGAATTGTAGAGAATGTAAGAAGCGGATGGAGCACGAAAAAGTTTTCATGGGGACGCACTATCAATAGGTCAGATCATTCATTATGATTTTAGGTTGAAAAAAAGTTGTGTGCAAGTCTGGATGCTTGCAGGTTTCCTGTCTTTTCTTTTTCCTTTTCCTTTTTTGATCAATGCAGGCCCTGGAGATCTTGTGCCAGGGGACCGGCGAGTTCAAGGAATTTGAAAAGCGCCAAAAACCCATGAATAAGCCCATTATAACTCCAGGATTTCCGTGTGTTTGACAGCGAGCCCATGAAAGGATAGCCATTGTCTGACATCTGATCGTCAAACAGAATGTTCTACTGCGGCGCTAGAAGGATTTCGAAGCATTTGGCGGGTGGGATAAAAATCAGGATCAAAAGAAATACATCAGAAATAGAACTGGGGGAGTGCGCACGGTTGTCAAAAATTTCGGGTGGCCTTAGCCTTTTGCGTCATCATCAACTGAGCAATTTGATCACCTCCTGGTGTTCCACCACCGGAATCACACGGTAGCGAGTGTGCTAAGGCTGGGATGCATGGGCTAAGGCATGCAGTCAGCATCGGGGCGCCCGACTAAAGAATCCCGTTGGGCCGCTGGGATGCCGGGGAAGAGAGTGGAAAGGATATGACCGTATGACGGGCCTCATTGTGGAACCAGCAAAGCCGGAGCCTCCAGCACCCACTGGCAGCCAGCAGTGGGTTGCCCAATAAGAAGCGCTATCTCGTCGGCTGGATTGACCAAAATCCCACGCTGAATGGGCTTCTGGATTCCTTCTAGAAGAATTGGTCCCCGCAGCCAGATGCAGCGTGTTTTTCTTTTTCTTTTTTCTTTTTCTTTCGCTTTTCTTCTCTCCCGCTTTTGCACCTTGGCTGTATGCACAGAGCAACATTGGGCTTGCATGAATGGCATGGTTGGACTTAGCGGCAAACCATTGTTTGTTTGCGGCTGGCAGGAGTTTCTCGAATTTTCTCATAAGCCTCATAGGGCGGGTTTCTTGGGCTCTCGATCGAAATCCGATTCATCTTCATTGATATATATAACTAATAATTGAAATGTGGCTCATGGCTGCTACTCCGGCAGCAATCACATCTTCACGTCGTGCATGGAAATGTTGTTGATATGCAGAGGACGGGAGAAGAATCCCTCTAGGGATAATCATTTGAAATTATCCGTTATTCTATTGGCAGCTGACCCCGAAAGTCTCATAGAAACTATGACAAAACGAGACGTCCGGATAATATATTATATAATAATAATCATTCTTAAGATTGAGGTGGAAAGCAGCAGCAAATAAACTTGCATTCGACCTATTGAGGAATATTTGGCATCCCTGATTATATTCTTCGTGTACAGAACTGCACACCCACTAGGAGACAAATGACGTGAGCCTGCAGGAGCTCGCTGATCCTTGTGACGACGTGTCGTAGCAATGCTAGGGAAAGGGAAAATATTGCTCCGAATTGACATGTGCTTTTGCTGCACAGGTCTCACGCACGACGATGCAACTTCAGGGTCACATGTGTGCTTCGGGCTTCTGGCAAATGCAACTGGTTTATCGCATCAGCCCTATTCAAAGTCTGTTTGCTCTTTGCAGATCCTCGTTTACAGTTGTCAGCCCACCACAAATTTAACCGGCCCAGCGGGCCATGGCGCACCGATAGGCCAGATGCTTCTCTAGCCTTGTTGCCGGTTGGGAACAGGTGGAGGGACGATGTAAATAATAATCATGATAATAATAATAAAAATAAAATGAGACATGCAAAAAGGCCGAAAAGCCCGACGCCCGGCGCAATTTCATGTGACAAACAATAGTATTTCTGTCCCATTTGAAAGAGTAGCGTCAATCTCACTGCGGGGACCTCGTCCGGGGTTCGGTCCTTTCCGCCGTTTCATGACCACGAAGGTCGAGCCATCCCGGCAATCCAAATCGATTTTCGGTCATTTAGCAAGCTAGATGGAAAGCTTTATTACAAGATCTCCTCCAAGACTTGGAAGAGGACCGCTTGGACCGGCCCAGACCGCTCCGTTGCGAGCCACTCTTTAACTTGCTGGCGGTGCTCGTCGGGCATTTTAATCTTGGTTGTGTTGCACAGGTGTGTGTATGCAAGCGCGGCTTGTGCTCGACTATGCCTCGTTTTTTCTACGGATAGCTCGAGATCCCGGAATAGAAGTTGATCGCCGAGAGAGAGTAATGCAGTGCGGAAGTCGCTGTTTAACTCTCCATTGGATAGTTCAGAGTCGGGTTTTGAAACTTCTGCCCCAAGTTTTTCGAATGCGGATTTTAGCCCGCTGTACATGATGCCATATATGGCCTTACCACCATAAGTGACAGCCTTGCCGACGACCAGGGGTATTTGAGATATATGACCGGTCAGTGCTGCTGTCCAGGAATTAGCAACGAGTGACGTTCTTTTTGGATCCATAATATTTCGCATACCTAAGAAAGAAATTGAGGGATTAAGGCAGCTGAAAATGCACTCGACGCTAGCTGCGAGCGTTTGCCCTTCAACCCTGGAAACAAAAATTAGATTCAACAAAATACGCGTGTTCTGCTGGCTCATTTGACTCACTTTGAAGCCTTGACTACGTCGGCTGCTGCATCTACCTCCATTTTTTCTTTCGAATCATCGACTAGCTCCTCGACCACCTGAGAAACAATTTTCATTGCATCAGGCATGAGATCCAAATCATCTCGGTCTTTGGCAAATTCAGCGAGAGATTTGAGCGCATGAGGTTTGTATGCAGGATTGTTGCGCCTGGCTTCTCTCACTACAATAACCTGCATCGTGACAGTTAGATTACATTTAAGAGGCCCAACAAAAAATAAGATCGAAGGACTGGACTAACCTTCATTTGCTCACGGATATCGCTATTCTGCGCACACAGAGCTTTGGATTTGCGAGAAAATTTGACAAACCCTTCCAGTACCGTTTCCTTTCCTTCCCAAGTCTTTCCTGCAACCGCCTTTTCGATAGCTGGCCAAATGCGCTGTGCAGCGCCAAGATCAATGTTGTCATCTAATGATGAAGCCACTTTTGCAACGGCAAGAGCAGACGTGTGTTTAATGGCCCACCGCGGTGAGTCTAGATTGTTAGATACAATATCAAGTATCTCTTGAAGATACAATGATACAGCTCGCGAGCCGCTGACATTGTCGTTCCATGTTTTTAAAAATAGTTCCCTAACTTGTTCCTCTGTATCATGCATACCCACAAAGATGAAAGGGAGAAAAGCCGCCGAACACGCCGCGACACGGTCGTTCGCAAGTTTGGAGATGGAGTTTAAGATTTCACCGGAGATGACACGGTGAGACGTTTCTTCGGCCCCAAAGTAGAGCGATTTCGCAAACTCGATAGTTTTAAGCATCTGGTCATCCGTCGCCAATCGCATGAGATATCCTATTGTGGAACTGTATGAGGCGCTGATGGTATCATTCCGATCAAGGACATGTTTCCGCATAAGTTGGACGAAACGATCGGCGTGGGGGCGGAAGAGAAAGGTTTTGGAACTGAGAATAACAAGGACGCGGCTGACACCAACCTTCGAAGGTAGGCCAATTGCCGATCGTAAAACGTCTTCTAGCTTGTTCGCAACTTCTTTCATGCTTTCATCATCAAGAGACTCGAGAAGGGATAGCTCGATGGCTTCCATCATTGGAGACGTACGAATTGCTGACAATCTCATTTTATCAATATCCTGCCCGGTCAAGCCATACTTGTCGGCGTTGAGGTGGATATAATTGACAGCTTGAGGCTCAAGCGAGCTCAAAGAAGCAAGGAATCTCTCCAGTATCTGAGGTACAAACAGGCGGAGTGTTTTCCCAGGGCTTTTCTTGATGATCTTCGTTAAGGTTGTAATTGCATAACCTTGTACTTCTTCCGCTGCAGACTCCATACCCTCATGGCTGAGCAAAAAGGGAATGATATGATTTAACATGACCCTGGCCCTCTTCGAATCAGCATCTCCAGCCTCCAGGGATCGGACAACAATATTCGTTAGAACTTGACATAGTCTGAGTGCCGCCTGGCGGACAGTGGCCTTAATATCGTCTAGAAGCTTGAATGCTTTGGTTAGGATATCACCAAGATATTTATCGTACTTTTCAGTAGGCCGCCCTTGGATAAGGTCACCAATTGCCGCACAGCTCGCTTGGCGCACTCTCCACTCTTTTCCAGTCATGATACTTTTAAGCAGGTCATCCATAATAGCGTCAAAATTCGCCTCAATCACAGAGTTCGAATCTTTGACCAGGGCGTTCCAAATATCATTCATCGAGCGTTGCACATTAGGATTCGGATCAAATCTGTACCGATACAGCTTGGGGAACAGTTTAGGATTTTGTGCGAGGTATCCGTTGACGCTTGAGTCTGAGAGCACGTTGCTCAATCCGAACCTGCCAAACGCCGCACGGCTTGACCAAATTGCATTATTTGAAGCAAGTGACATGAAGCGATAAACAAGACTTGGGTCTCCGACTTCAGACGCCAGGCCAACAATATCTTTGTAAGTGGTGACGGATCCCTCGCCAGTGGGTAATGCGCCGGGCTCGAAAAGTTCCGTGTCTGTGGAAATTTTCCCACCTCCGAGATTCGAGCCTTCCATTGTAAAGGATCGCACGAGATCGCGTACCAAGTCATCTTTAAGGTCCTGACTGCCCATCTCGTATACCAGACTCAAGCCTCTAGAGCCGGTTTCCTGCACAACTTCATCTCTGTCTGACAAGAGCCATACAAAGGTAGCTTGGCACTTCCTTAAACGATCTTGCACTTCCGAAAAGTGTCCACAGTATTGGATTAAGCAGAGAAGCCAGATGACAGATGCCTTTCTCAGCGATGGCTTCGAGGCCTTGCAATCGATGATGATCTTGTCAAGCATTCCCGAAAGGATATGTGAGGGTATGTCAGACTTTGGCCAAGGTGCGTCCACGTCAAAGACTGTAATTAATGACTTTGACGACCAACCAACTGCAACAGTACATAACGCTTCTCCAACAGAAAATTGCACCTCTGGCCGCTTAACTTCATGAAGCTCATAGAGAGACTTTAGTAAGTGTTTGAACGGGGATCCTTCGGTGTCGTCCTTAGGAAGTACCAGCGACAGACGTCCCAAAGTCAATATTGCTGTATCTTTTTCTTTCTTCGCTTCTTCCGATAGCTTACATATCACTTTTTTCACAGCCTCGTCGCAGTTATCTCCAGGGAAAGATGTGGGGGATAAAATGGATGCAAGACTCAGTTGTCCGATAGTCACATGGGAAGCCTCTCTGAGGGCTAGATCTCTAGAGTTGTTCAAGATATCAAACGTGGACTCCAAAAGCCTTCGGATTTGATTTTCAGAGATCAAATTTAGTCGCCCTCGAAAGGAAGCGCGGGTGGAAAGATGTGTTAACGCCAGTAGTGCACCTCTGCACTTATTGATACCTTGACCGACCGCAGTTTTCCAATTCTCAATTAAAACGATAAATGACTCAAACATCTGCAGCAGCCGAGAGGTAGGATAGTCCGTGTGAGAGGCCAAAATTCCGAACGCCTGTGTTGCTATATCCTGATTCGTGACGTTGTTTGAAAATATCGGATCCCTAAGCGATGAGGCGTGAATTGCAATAGAAGCCAGAAGGTCATTGGATGCGAGAGCGCAGATTTCGACAAAATGAACACCACAGCGGCCTAATCCCTGGCCCTGCTTCCAAAGGAGACCAGCTAGGGAAGCCTTCAGGAACCCAAGGGTCGGCACACGATCGCATTGTTCGAGATATGCTTTAAGGCTAGCCCTTGCATCTTCCTTCGTTGAGATTGCCGCGTCAAGGCGGTGTTCCCAATCCGGTTCGACACTCAAGGGGGAGCCAGAATATTGGAACGATTCACAGAGGAGAATATTGCGAATAAATGCAATAGTCGGTGCAAATGAATTAACATAGGCGCTAGAAAATCTGGTGGGAAGAGAAACGTTCCCGTCATCCATTTCGATATCATCGCTAGTCGGGTCGCCAAATAAAGAGCTTACTAATTCGGCAAACTTAGGAAACCGGTACCGAGGATGAACATCAGCGTCCATGGCAGTTGAAGTTATCCGGCTTCCATCTCTGGGAGGATTAAGCATCCGATACCAGTATGGGTCAAGGCCTTTCTGGCCTTCCTCTATGATTTCAGATCTCCCACCGGACTCCCCGCCAATAGCCATAAGATCTATCCAGCGCGCCTGCACCTCCCAATACGGCAAGCACCGATTCGCAAACCGCACGGCAGCAAACCTCGTACTTCGGACGATGTGAAATCCTGTATCGCGGTCTTCCGTACCGGGCTTGGCGTGCATATGGTGAATTAAAAGCGGACGGATTTCATTTTGAAGATGTTCGTCTGCATTATTCGCGAGAGCGTTGAGGATACTCCCCAGAGCTTGCTCGATACTTACGAATATCTGTGCACTTGAAGTGTCAGAACTCAGGGAAGTGAATAGCCACCTGAGTAGATCAAGATCGAATATCCGTTCATCGTCATCCTGTGAAGCTCGATCGATTTTCGGAGCTAGTACGCCAATAGTTTCATACGCAAGACTTCGAAGACTAAGTTCGGCAGGACTCAACTTCTGCGCGCTAGCGCCAGGGTCAGGCCAGCCTTGGTAGGAAATATATTCTCTTAAACCCTGGATGGCGCGAGGCGCGACGACATTTAAATCTGCAGAAGAGCCCATGCGCGCAATCCACGTCACAAAGACAAATATCTGGCTCCGAAGCTTAGATGCTTCAAGGCCCTTGGCAGTGCTTTCATTATTTGAGAACAGCCCTTCATCGAGAAGCTGATTAATCCTCTCAGGCTGGGTGGTAGCCTTGACTGATTTACTTAGAAATCCAAGGATTTTAGCTTGTAAAGCTGGTCGCGCTGGTAGGGCACCATCGGGGTCTTTCGTTCCAAAGTAGAGAGTAAACAATTCATCAACAACTTCCGCGTTTTCCAAGTCTGCACGGAAACGCTTTAGTATATCTTCCCCAACGTCCGAAAGGCGACTATTAGGATCAGCAGAAGCAATAACAGCGGCAAGGAAGCGTTCAGAATCTGTAAAAGCCCCACTGGCCAAAAACTTCGCTGCGGCAACCTTGGTTTCGATCAAGTTAAGGCCACCAGCTGCCGAAGGATTCCAAGTATCGTCAGGTGATGCATCTCTGTTCACAAATCTATACTCTGAAGGGGTAAGACCGGGGCATCTCGTCGCATCTTTTCCAGCGGGTAGTAAAAGAAAAACTTTTGCAAACCATTTTGCCAGGAAAGTGGCATCTTCATCTGATATACCTAGTTTCGCTCTTAGAGCCAAATCATCTTCACTGCCTCTCTGTGGCAACTTCAGCAACGGTAACAATCTCAACAATAAATTGAAAACGACAGAGCCATGCGATGAAGCAGAGATTGAACCTCCGATTCCTGCAATCCCCTGGATTAAAGCTGGTATGAGTTCGATACGCTCACTGGCGGGAATTCGATCAAGGCCCTGCTTGATATATATAAGGTCAAAATGTCTGACCAGCGGCGCTTTAACTTCTTTAAACTGTTTCAGCAGTGCTGCGACAGGGAGGGTGATTGACACTGGTCGTATTCGAGTGTTGATATGCTGGCAGACAGCAATGACTTTGTTGCGCACTGCAAGGCTTTCGGAAGCTAGCTTTAGGAGTAGTGGGGCAAGGTATGTCTGGAGAAGAGATTGCAGCTTGGAATCACTGTCTGCTAGGGCAATTCTAAGCTCGACTTTTGATATAAGACTTAGTTCTCGGGCTTCGTCTGGGTTAGACATGACGAAATTCGCTTGAGTATCAATAGACGAGTGGATAGGTAGAGAGTGGCGTGATATTATTTTATCATGAATGAGGACGTAAAAACGAGAGTTCGAACACAACCTAAGTAATAAAGGGAAAAATCGCGATTTAAACTAATAAGTCTGGTCGTAGGGCAGTGGTGGTGGCGTGTACATGTATGTATGTACAGACAGACGTTGGCCCAGATGAGATGTTCCTTGTCTGTGATGGATTGTTAGTGCACGAGGAACATGATTGGTCAGCAGGAACAGGCGCCAAGACCTTATGCGCAAATAGGACTAGTGTCAGATTAGGGCTGAATAAGACCAGTCTATATAAGTACGTTAATCGAACAAGAAACGATGATGGTAAATGCAATACACATTGTCGCGAATGCAAATATCTATAAGGGTCGTCAAAGGAGTAGAAATATATAAATGTATGACATAAGGTGGGCTAGATGCAAAAGCTAAAAGAAAAAAGAAAAAACTAAAAAAAAATTTTGCACTATATTCTGGGCCACGGATTGCGAGTTCTCTGGTATCGTTATAGAACTGGAACTCGACAAATAAACATTGAGACTTCATATTTACAACACAGCACTGGCATCGCCGCTCGCCAGAACTTCTCCATTACCACCATCCCCAGCATCCGCAATCCTCTCCTCCGCCGCTTCAGCCCTCAAAAGCCGATCAACATCATTCCGCATAGCCTCCACATTCCCTCCATCCACCATCGATTTCGCCCTCCTACTCGTCTTAGCAAAGAGACACTGCCACAAATCACCCTCAGGAACTCGCTCCCCTTCAGCCGCCGTGCCCGCCATCAGATTCCCCAGCTTCGCATCCTGCAGTTCCAGAGAGTTCGCAGCCTCAATGACTGTCTCTATACACGCACCTCCATCTCCATTTTCTTCGCCTCCCGAAACGCTCATCTCCAAATCCTCCCCCCGGAATTTCTCCCCATCCTGCTTGCGCTTTTGGGCAATATGAGCCAGGCGCCGTGACACGGAAATATCATAGATACATTCCTCGACAGAATCAGACACGAGATACATCCAAACTGTCGTTTCGCGATGTTGCCCGATACGATGAACACGCGCGATGGCCTGCAGCTCAATCGCAGTATTGATTAAGGGCTCACAGAGGAAAACATGAGTGGCGTTAATAAGGTTTAGCCCGGAGGCATGAGCCTTCGCGTGGAGGAGAAAGCACTCGATCTGCCGCATAAAGGAGTTAGAACAGAGCATCAAATCATTAGATATAAAATAAAACGAAGATTCCTCTTACTGAAGGGTCACTTTTAAACCTCTCAACCCCATCATGGCTGTCAATACTACTAAATCCAATTTTGAAATGCGAAAAGGCGCGCGCGAGAATCCCCAGGAAAGGCTTATACTGCGAGAAGACAATGGATTTCGCACCAGGATCATGTTGCCGTAACCAAATCAGATGTCGACCTAGGGTATCAATTTTGGTTCCAAATGAGCCTTCAACGTCAATATTTCTGATCTCCTTCAACACCCCTGAACTAATATCCGAATATATCGAATTCTTGAGAGAATGGTCAGACCCGATGTGTGCAGCAGCCGCCCTTTCTTCCTGCGCAACTATTTCCGTAGGCTTGTATGTAATTTGATGGAAATCGTTGGATTTCAGGCGTATTTTGCACATAGGACAAGTTCGATGTTGGCGCCACCAGAACCGGAGGCAGTCCTTGCAGTATTTGTGACCACATACGGTCAATACACCTGGGTATTGAAAAATAAATTAGCCAAGGTACACACAACACACAACATGCGGATAACGTAGATGGGTGTGGGGAAGATTTCACCGATTTCAAACGTCGACTGGCAGATGACACATATTCTTGCTGACTCTTCAGCCCCAGACTCGTCTCGAAGGTGTATAAGATACCGATATTTAGACCTGAGTGCTGATATTCTCTCCTCAATTTTGTGTTCCGCCATGAGACTGCGGTCAAAAAGTGCAATATCAAGCGGCTTCCCTCTGCTCTCTTCATCGTAAGGCGCGACAGTATCTGAGATTTGCTGCAGTTGCCTATAATATTCCAAACGCCGATTCATCACGTTGTGGAAAAGCTGCACCTCCTTCTCCAAATCCGACAAAACCTTTGATTGCTCCGACGAAATTTGGCTCGAATCTTGTAGGATTCGATTTACTATGCCAAGTTCAGCTCGTGCTCGGGTACTACCCCGAGCTTCCTGCCATTCGAGGGACACTGCAAGGCCCCGCAATTCGGTAAGGATACCGCGAAGCGACCCAAGCTCATCGGAGGGCTTCAGGCATTCGCGTGTTTTCATGAATGAGATGTAAAGTTTAGGCGATGGGCCCTTTCCATCATTTGCCCGTGCTAACCCTTTCTTGACGTCGTATTCGATCAAAGTGTTTTTTTGACCCGTGATAGCGTCATGATAGTCAGCGAATAGGGCGCGCAACCCTTCCATGTAAACGTACATCTCATCCTGATGTTGAGTTGAAGATTCGTACTCGTCACCCTCCAACTTGGCATTATTGTCTTCCTCATCCACCAGTTGCTCCAAAAGTAGCTTAAGAGAATGTGTGCGCCACTCAATGAACTGCTGTGTAAGTTTATTTATAGCCTCGCAAAGGTCTTCGAGTTTATCTAGAAGTCGCCCACTCTCCATGCCACTAATATCCAGCCTTGGTGACATCTTGGGGATTTTTACAAGACCTTTGCTACTGACGTTCGCCTGTATCTGTCGGATAGATCGACTGACCCTTTGATCTGTCTCCGCCAGCATCTCCTTTCGAATAAGCTTTGCCGCCTCGTAGTTCTCCACCTCGAGCTTTTCAAGAGCGAAGAACTCTTCCGAGTCAGGAGTTGTGAGCTCTGTATTAGTTTTGATCTGGTAATACGCATTTGCAATGAAAAATTTGCAAATATGCTGAATTTCCAAGGCGCTCCGGAGACGGCCACGATAAGTCGTCAATCTGGTATTTTTTTCCCCTTTCCCTTCCTCAACATCATCCTCGTCATCTGATGAATTTTGCACAACTTCCGACACTGCGCTTTGCTCTTTCTTACGTTCAATTTCGAGCTGAACTCGAGAATCCCTAACGTTAGCCTCTGCTAGCGCCAAAGCCGCTTGCCATAACTCCAAAGCCTCCTTTGGTTGGCCAGCATTCTCCAGCAGCTGGCCGCGGCGAATTTGAGACAGGAGGAGTGAGCGTTCTTCTGCACGGATTCGAAGTTCATTCTGGTCAATCATTACCTCCAGAACCTCAGCGACCGAGCGAAGTGGACCACTGCTCATTCCAAAAGCCTTGCGGCCGGCACCACCAACTTCTGGATGGAGACAAGCCTGGCGAAGCCTTGTTAGCCAGCGCCTCATCGTTTCAATGGTAGATTTCGAATTGGGGTCCCAATCTCCAGTGCGCGGAGCTCCTAACGCGTCGACTCCGCACTCTTCGCACATTTGCTCAAAAAGCTGATCGTAATGTTGTTCTTCCACTGCTGTGAATGGAATAGTTATAACGATACGTTTCTGACGAGGCAAGTTCAATTCATCGCGTATCATATCCTTATTATGGCGCAGGACAATGCGGCCAATAATTTCTTTAAAAAGGGGTTTATGGATCTCGTACAGCCGAACCCAGGCATCCAACCAATCACATAATGGGTGAATGCGTAAAAATGAGAGTAGACCAAGCAAATCGTTCATATCTTTTCGAAGTGGTGTGCCTGTCACTGCCCAAGCGTTGTGCCGCGGAATAAGCCTAGCCACCCTTGCAGCATGGCTTACCCCCGTTTCAATCATTTGAGCTTCGTCAATACAAACTCTCCACCAAGAAATTTTAACCAGAGGAGATTTTCTTGGAATCACTTTTTTCTCACTGCGTAGTGAACGATCGGGCGGATCCTCGGCGTAATGTATTTCTCTCTGTAGGACATTGTAGGTCGTGAGAACCACGTCACAGGAGGCTAGTTTTTCCACTAATTGCTCATAGCTCTTTTTTGTGCGGTTAATACCTTCATAATATGTACATCGAAGATGTGGAGCGTGGGATGAGATTTCCTGTTTCCATTGGTCAAGGATAGTACTTGGAGTGATTATCAAGGTTGCACCTGATTCTGTAAGAACGGGCCATTGTCGTAGAATTGGTAGCCCTGCCTCAGGAGCAGGCCTTCGGTGCAGGGAGATCAGTGTGATCATTTCCACAGTCTTGCCAAGTCCCATTTCTTCTGCAAGAATACCGCCTTTCAGCGTCTTAGTGCTACTCAACCCTTTAAGGTCGGAGGTCAAAACCCAAAAAAGATGGCTCATATAACAGATGTGTCCATCCGCATCTTTAATCTGAGAAAAGGAGTCGGGGAGATTAGAGCCCGGGGGAAGCGGCCGTTCTCGGGTTCTGCCGTCCGGAAGAAGCTCTACACCCTCTCTCTGGAGTAGCCACTGAACTGCTCTCCGCTGGAAAGGGAAAAGTTGACATTCAATGAAGTCTGCTAGGGCGCTTGGCGGCAAATCCAGATTTTTGGGAGGAACGTGAACACTGTCATAAAATTCGCTAGGAGTCCAGGTACTTTCTTTTATACGCCGCTGCCGCCAATCGTTCCGACGGAAGGGTTGTGAAGGATGCTCCTGCAGCGCTCCCGGTAAATATGTTGAGAATGCTGCATTCTGCCACACGCCTCTTTTGCCTAACTTTAAGGTGTCTTTCCAGAAAACCTTTGTCTCCAGGATAAATGAACGCTGGTCGTCTTCAACCCTCCGCAGCGTAGACATTGAGAGCGCAGTCGGGGATGAGCGCGTCCGATAGATTGAAGGGAGATTCATTGGGATAAGAAGGTCATGATTCCCTGTGTGAAAATCAAGGATTTCTTGAAGTATGACATCCGAGCTACTGGTTTCAAGCTCGATCTTATATTGTTTCACATGTGGCTGAGTGGATGCCATACGATACCATTTCGAGATTAGAACTTTGATCTGAGTGCCATCTTCATAATCCGAAGAGATGGCATGGATATCAAGTGCCGGAGAGGAGAATGTCTGGGCCAGAAAATAAAATAGGCGACAAAGGAGTCAGACTCTGCAGTCCCTTTCCTCGAGGGTATTATTACTTGATGATGAAACACTTACAATCTTCAACTCTATATGCGCCAGAGTCAAATACTCTGGAAACATAGACGCCGCAATGTCTTGAGCGGCAGTGTTTTGAGAATCCCATATCCCCGTATTCAACTTCCGTCGTTTCCCTGGAGTACCTTGGGTTGAGCCTGACTCCTTCAGCTTCGAGAAACACGCCTGAAGAGTGTTGGGCACAGGGCCTACAACAGGGGGTCGCACCGTTAGCTCCCGTCAAGAAGCCATATATTAGTGATTAAAACGTACCTGACGCGAAGGCCACATCTTTAAGAATAGACATGTAGAAATAGTCCCCTCAGGGCCTCCCTTCTTGCTGTCTTCCCAATTGTAGATGAACTGGCGGCGAGAAGACAGGCAGCAGTTCGCAGAAGCTAGGTATCTTATCGCAATGTCACGTGGCGATGAGCAGAACGATTTCTAGCTCGAATCCTGAGGATCAGTTCCTTGTATTAGCAATATTCATGACACAGCTAGATTCTTCCTTACATAGGAATTGTTCATAAACATGTAACTTACTTTACATGATGTGGCTCGAATGATTTCTAAACAGAAACAACAGCGTGGTACGATTTTGTCTTGGAATGAGCGAGGTCTGCCAAACTATGCCAAATTGATGGACTGGCAACCGAGCCATGATCGAGAGAGTAATAAATTGGATTTGGTACACATATTATATTTCTCTAATATTTTGTTTAGTAACTTAACTAACTTATTCCTAACGAATACGTACACGTACAAACCGTGGTGCAAAAGGTTCGGTCCGTGAAATGTACTGTATAACTAGAGGTTATGCGTAGATGCAACTTGCTCACATTCCCAACAAACCTATATCCTAATATCCGTAAGAGCGCTGCCCTGAGAATTAATAAACTCTTGTGTTTCCCACTACATTCTAGAATAATAAAGAGTTTATGTTCCATTCCTTTCTAATCCAGAATCCTAAGTTAGACCCGCACGGTTGTTACATGTACATACATACACGTCGTTCTCGAAACGATTATCCGTCCGGCTATTTGGACGCGGCAACTTCGGCAATGGTGTAGGACTGCCGATTGTTTATTTTCATGTTTTAAAATAATAAATAATTTGTAACCATACCAGCAGACGAAACTGATTTCATAGATTTCATCGTCTTTGTACGGCAAGATCGTCGTTACTATTACTATTATTATTATTATTATTATTATTATTATTATTATTATTATTATTATTATCGTGGCAACTAAACTGACTGCAATGTTCGCTGGGAATTTTCCACGTCCAAATCAAATATATGTAACAATCCATAATCGTCAAGAATTCACATTGAAATTCTCTTGTTGAAAGCTAAGATCCGCTGAGGTTCAATGACATGGTTTGACCAGATTGGTTAGTTCCCGATATCCCGGATCTGGTAACTAATTAGCCGATGAAATATCTCCAGAGCGGCATCGTTCAACTAATGTTAAACCACTTTATGCCCCAGAGGCCATAACTCCCCATACCCAACATCTGACTGAACGGCGCTACTGGAGACCATGAATGAAATGAAAACGCTAAGCCTAAGGTTTCGATTCCATTTAACGAGGCCATTTCATTATTCTGGTTCTCCGCGAACTTCATCAACCTTCGCGCGCCCTCGTCTCGCTGGAGAAGAGCCGGACTTCTACGGAGAGGGTGGTTTCCACCGTGTTGCGCTTGGTGACACTTTTGATGCTGGCAGATACCATATCCTGAGGAAGCTCGGCTATGGACAGTATTCCACCGTCTGGCTTGCCAGAGATTCTAAGTAAGCAGTGCACTTTTGTACAGTACATGTACTTTTTGCGTGGCGCAACGAAAGCTCATATATCCCGCAGGCATCAGAGATATGTAGCGCTTAAAATACTCAGAGCGGACTGTTACGGTGGTCCTGAGCGAGGGATCCTCTCCAAGATCACAGATATCTCTGCGAGAAGCAAACATGAAGGCCGACATCACATATTACCCTTTCTGCATCAATTCAAACATATCGGCCCAAATGGGGTACATGTTTGCTTCGTCCTTGAAGTTCTAGGACACCATTTGTATTTTCAATGCTCAAAATATAAAGACGGACGTCTCCCAGTTCGAGCTATAAAAAGAATTGCCCGTCAACTTCTCCTTGGGCTTGACTTTCTGCATACAGAGTGCGGTGTTATCCATACCGGTATGGCACAATATATATCACCTTAGGCTGTCTTGCATACCAGCAAAGACTAATATCGCTCGACCTTGTGAATAGATATGCACCCGAAGAATATACTTTTAGAACTGGAAGATCCACACACAGCCATTTCACGACATCTATCGGAGGTCCCTCCACGGACAGATACCCAGTCTGGTGAGGTATTACCACTTCGGGAAGTTATGAAAATTCCTCCGATTTCTGAAATCAAGGAACCTTACATTAGGATAATTGACTTCGGCGTAGGTAAGGAAATTTGATGCATTTTCCTTCCGCCTTCGTTGATCTTTCGTTGTACAAATGCGTGCGATTAGGCTGACTTTTTATATAGCTACCTACAGACACAAACATCACTCACAAAAAATTCAACCGCCAGCTTTAAGAGCACCTGAGGTGACAATAGGTGCTCCCTGGGACACAGGAGTAGACATATGGAGTCTTGGATGTCTTGTTAGTAAATATCTCTTTTATATATAAACCGTTATGCGAATTTAACATGACAGTCGGCGCGCTTGCAAATAGGTCGTAGAGTTTATGCAGGGAATAGTTCTCTTCTCTGGACAAGAATCAAAGCATGGGGATTGGACAGCCGATGATGACCGGCTGGCAAAGACCATTGAGGTCCTTGGTCCATTCCCACTCGAGCTTCTCAAGAAAGGAAATAATTCAGGAGAATTCTTTCATGAAAATGGTGCGGATACATACGTAGTTCTAAGTGTACTATGATGCCAAATGTATGTGCTGATGTGGCAGTTGCTATAGGAGATCTTCGAAGAATTGCAAATTTGGTCCCTACGACGCTTGAAAGTATTATCAATGGTTCCGCCTCGCCCTTCTTGAAACCAAACGACATGCCCGATGCGCAGGTGCCAGTCTTTATCGATTTTCTTAAGGGGATGTTAACAATTAATCCCGATCACCGACGGGCAGCAGCTGATTTATTGCAGCATGAATGGTTGAACCTGTGATCCTCCTACAGGAATGAGAACATGTCGCCTTCACGGGGATTCTCCTCTCGTTTCTCAGATTACCGCACGGTGGAATTATAATTGACAATGTTATATGGGGGATATCCAGCAGGAATTTCGAAAGAGAGCTGGCAGAAACTATAAAACTATGTAAAGTACATTTCATAACTATGCCTAATTGACACGATATTAATCACACTGCTAACTAGCGGCATTAGTTATACAACACGTCCCACACGTCGCATCTCCCATCCACATTTTTGGAATCTATAGTTGCAAACACCTTTCTCCCTTCATCGCCTATTCCAGCTCTGGCACCACCGCCGATCACCCCGAGTCGTGGAGCTTTCTTCCATCCCGGGCCCTTGTTTGGATGCTTAGCAAAATTCGCCCATGCTTTCTGCATCACCTTACCAACCTTTACCTGGAACTTTGTAGCCCCCTTTCGCGGATATGTTCCAAAAATGTACTTAATCTCTAATCCGTGGTACGCTCCGCTTCCATCAAATAGTTCCGTGTTCGGGAAACTCGCGTTGAAATAATACCGCCACACATCAATACCGACCGTTGCGCTATCCTGTGTGACTAGCCTTGCTAGACACTGGAAAGAAAATTCAGTAAGGATGGCTGCGAGACGTTCGGGTTCGTTGCCGATTCCTGGAGCACCGATAGGGTATGTGTCTAGTATCCTTTGAATGATTTCGCCCGGAACATCCGGCAAAGACGCACGGAGGAATGCTTCAGTGTCATTCATGCCAACCGTGATTGGACGATTTTCGTCAGCGTTACTTCCCATTAACACTGGTACGCGCGCAATAAGTGATTTCTCATCAGTCGAATCGAGACGATCTTGGCGTGGTGTATCTGCCCAGGTGACGCCGCCGTCTGCCATCGGACCGAATGCTAGCTGTTGTCGTTCGATGATTGCTTTCAGCTCCAGTGCAGGAATAGCACGAACGCATTCGAGGCCATTTGTGGAAGGGCAGTTAGTCGCCTCCAAAAGCTTGCCCCATGAAGCAACGGGATCAGCAGCGAGCATTCTTACTGTGGACTGGCCAGATTGCATAATGGCGGCGCGGAAGGGAATAGGGTTCGGCGGAGCGGTGATAAGGCCATCGACACTTCCTCCGCCTGCACTTTCTCCGAAAATCGTTATTTTCTCTGCATCACCGCCGAAAGCTGCGATATTACGTCGAACCCAATCCAAAGCGAGCCGTTGGTCCAGCAATCTGCCCGAATTATATAGTTAGACCTCGACCCTATCTTTTAAGTTCTTAACGAATACGAAACTTACCCCAGGTTCTTCTCCGCCGCTGGTAGCTCAGGCGACCCGGGGAACCCAAACAGGTTTGTCCGGTAGTTGAAAGTCACCAAGACAACATTTTGATTAACAGCAAAGCTGGAGCCATCATAAAGAGGTAGAGAACCGGAACCAAAAACGTAAGAACCTCCATATATCCAGACGAGGACAGCCCTAGGGCCCTTGGGTGGAGACGCCGGGGCGAAGACATTCAGATTTAGACAGTCCTCGCTCTCTCCGGCTGGAGGCGGAGGCGTGTTGTACCATTCGATTGACTGATTGCGTTGTTCTTCCGGGTAATTAAACTGCTGGATGCAAGAGGGCTTGTATCTGGAGGCGTCATAAACTCTCTGCCATGGCCGGACTGGTTCGGGGGCCTTAAAACGAACAGGAGGTTCAGCGAAGGGAATACCAAGGAATTTATTGACGGGGCGAGTAGAGGACGGAAGCCAGGTGGCAGTCCCCGCAACGGTCCCTGAGTCTATAGTCGCCGTAGGTCGACATTTTGGTTTGCGACATGGAGTTGAGTTGGCAGTGGCGGCACAGAGAGCTATGGTCAACGTTAGGACGGAAAAATACATGGCGGGCGTTTTGGATTTGGTGAACATAGGTATAAATTGGACATTTGAGAGGGAGGCCCGCCTTTCTCAACATATGTATCGCGGGCTCTTATATATAGGTGAACGAAACCATCCCGAGTCTGCAATGTGTTTGTTAGCTTTTGCCCTAAAACACTTAGAACATCTCCCAGTCTTTCTCTCTCTCTCTCTCTCTTTTTTTTTTTTTTTTTTTCCGGTACGTTTTTTTCAGCTCATGGTCTATACGCGTATCCGGACTACAAGAGGCGGACCTATGAGATATTCGGCGCTTGCTAGGGGCGCATGCGGATCCTTCCCCCTCAATGATTCAGCTATACGATGTTTCAAGCAGAATGCGAAATTTCCGCTGATAGCTTAGCAACCTCAACTCAACTTACCATATGAAATCTTGTATTCTAAGGTCTAGTGGATATATTTCAATACCATGATCCTTTTCCCTCCCTGTCGTAAATAGTGGGCAAAAATGAAGCTTGCGACCAACAACGAAGAAACCACTTCGTCGCTGAACCTTTTCTGGCTCCAGGTGACGTGACAGCTCAGGATAGTTCTGGGGCTGTTGTATTGCATCGCTAGCCCATGTTCCAAGGGCCATTTTCTCCACAGCGCCATGAGATGCGCTGGGCATTTAGGATCGCAAGACACAGCCGATTGTGCAAGTCTCAATCTACCAGCCGGAAATGGATACGCCCCAAAAGCCTTCTGATAGCATTGCAACCTAAAGACAGCAAATCATCCTCTTGGGACTTTTGTGAACACTTAGGGAGCTCTAGCGACATCAAAGTGGTGAATGCTACATGCTCGCGCGGTTGTCGCCATAAGGCTAGCACATCCCAGAGATAATAAAAATGTGGAGCATGGCTTTAGTGATAGAGGGCAGATAGTCATGGTTGGAATTCCAGAAGATATTCTTCCATGTGTTTCCTCATTCCTAGGTTTCGAATGCTATTTCATTACTACCTAGGGATGTGCTGCACCGCATCGATATCTACACACGATGTCATCCGAATGCTGCATGCTGTAGAGCAAATTAGCATTGATGGTAGCCAGGACCATGGGCAGGACTTTTGTGCCTGACGAGGTATAGCCCCTAACAACAGGAAATAGACGATATCAGCACTATAGTAGTTACCAGTTAATTTACCGAACTGGTAGATATAGCCCATCAGTCACTAGCCCGGTAGCGGCTTCTGTATTCCTCCAACTTATCCATATCGTCCTTGTTCCCTTGGGATCCCACTAATGTAATAAGGTCTTGCAGCGTGACAATACTCGCAGTCGGGACACCAAATTCTTGTCTAATCTGACCCATAGCGCTCATCCTAGGCTCGTAATCGTCTTCAGCGTCTTTGGGCCCGGGCATTTTCTCCTGTCGATCGAGCGCAACTACGAAACCCACTACTTTCCCTCCTTCCTTATCTACTAGCTTTAACGTCTCGCGCATCGCAGTACCGGCAGTGATCACATCGTCTATGACAAGGATGTTTTTCCCCTTTAACGGGGACCCCACGATGTTTCCACCTTCGCCATGGTCCTTTGCTTCTTTCCGATTGTAGCTATATGAGACAGATGACCAGGTTTCGGGGTCCATGCGGTGGAGTTCAAGCAGCGTTGCGCACGCGAGGGGGATTCCTTTGTAAGCCGGACTTGAGAATTCTCCAATTAGTAAACTCCATGATTTCTGCGATCAGGATCGGAATCATGCGCAAGTCTTACCCGAAGATTACATCAGGTTTTGGAATAGATGGGTTGGAGGCGAGGTAGGAAATGATGGTGTTGGCGTAGGCAGTCGAGATGGCGGAAAGGAGCGACGAGGTATGGAACAGGCCCGCATTGAAGAAGTAAGGCGATTCTACGTGTCATATATCAGCAAATTGGGAGTTCAGGTGTATCAACCGTGTTGCGCGATTGCGCGCAAAGAAGATACAGACTTCGTCCAGATTTCAGTGTGAAAACCCCGAATTTCAGAACATTGGCGGACAGACAGGACTCTAGGAAAGCCGTTTTATAGGCGGGAAGAGGTGAGCTTGTGGGCTGCGCTGAAGACATTGTCGCTATTCTGGCTGGGATCCTCTGGTTAACAAAGATCAAGGAGAGAAGGGTCCTGATGTTTTAAGATTGACACGAGGGCGGCTGCGAAGATGAGGGTGGAGTTGGAGGGGGAAATATTTATCAGATTGCTAGTTAACTTATCGGTGACATAAGCAGATCTGATAGTTAACTTAACTAGCTAACTAACAATCAGCTCTAATTCATCCAAGCCCGATTTCAAACTAGAACAATCATCTTCAAAAACATTCCCGCATACGCGTATAGGTTATTGACAGCTCCGATACCCTTGGAACGAACAGGCTAAAGGAAGGGAGGTGGATTGACATTGTTGGAGGGCCAGAATTACGCCTTGACCAAGCGCGTGAGGAATTGGAAAGAGAGCGTCCGGAACCAAATTTAGTTTCACGATGTGTCATTGACTAGTTATAGATCCCAAGAGCATGATATCCTAGGGATAGGCAGGCATCCTAGGTTGACTGGATTTGTGGTTTTCAGTCTGGCTTGAGTGAGCATAGGCACTCTCGACTCGCATGTTAAGAAATGCTGAATGCGTAGTAATATCCGTCGCGTATTGGAGCGTCAAATTGTTCGTCAATCACACGCTTAAAATTTACTAAAGAATGCCTAAAGATGAAGGGTTGAGAGAAAAACCTCTAGTAAGCGTTCAGTTCTATAAATACCTCAAAAAATTATTGCTAAGTTCATCGATAAGCAACAGCTTCCGCACCGGCAGTTAACCCTATACCTTTCCCAAAAGTTCTGTCCGCAATGGTGCCTGGGCTTAACTAAATCGACCGCCCTAGGCAGTCACTTATGGTTAAAGCTTTTAGCTAAGACTTGGGACCGCATACACCTCAAATTCAATGGTCTGCAGCGCAACAGCGACATACTGAGCTATCTAAATTTTGATCTGGGGAAGTTTAGCGCGCCACAAAGTAACTTAATAGCACTGGCGCCGGACCCCGCCTCGCTAGCTGTAGTTATCCGAGTCGAGTTCGAATACCAATCTGTCAGTTCCTGATTGGCCAATTGTCAGAATCTGTAACGGCGCAGGGGTGGGAAATGCGTTGTCCAGTCAAGTCAGGCAGCCAAATGAGGAAAAGAAATATAGGACAAAATTTCTCACCTCGTGCTGGCAGCGGGTGAGGCTGTCAGTTCGTCCTCTGTGGAAGCCCTCTCCTTCCTCATACTCACGATACCAGCGTTCTCATTGTATTTTCGTGATCTAGGTCAAAATGTCGAGTCTGAAATTTGCAAGGGGATTGATGCGATGTAGGTATTTCCTGTCCAGGCACTTGCGCATTTCCGAGTCTAACTTGAATGTTTGCTAACTATCTAACACCAGTTCTCCCTCTCATTGGGTATCACCATGTTTTGATGTTTCTTTTACTTATTCCTATTCTATTTCTATGTACGACGTCCCGCCGCATCCCATATTTCCTTGTCTTCTTCTTCTTTCTCCTTTTTTTTTTTTTTTTTTCCCTCCCTCTGCATATTTTAAATCCTACATATATATGTGTGTGTGTGTAGAGAAAGAGAGATATTGAATCATTCTTCCCAGCGGTTCTCGTTGCCGGCTGCTCGAACTCTACTCTCGCAAACGTTTATTTGATATCGCTATCATACGCGGCGAATATCACCTCTTCGCCTCTACAAAATGACCATCCAGCGAAGCTTAATCCAGATATGCCAGGGGTATTCGCAAATTTGACCACTGGAGTGCGAAACAATGCAACTTCTTTTGAAATAAGGACAGGATATCTGGGCCATTGCATGAAACAAAACTCAGGCCTCTGGATCTGTGCTCGAGACATAGAACCTCTTGCAAATGTCATCAGGGACCAAAAAGCATCGAACATTGACCCGTTGAATCTGGTTTACATGTCCAAGACGTTCAAAGATCAGGTGATATTCAGTGGATTAATGTACGAGTCACTTCATCCCTTTTGATTACTACTGTCTTTAGAGTGACAAGCACTGATTTTTCAATATAGCTTTGCATCCATTCCATGTCTATTCATCTGTTTTCTGCTTCTCTCCAGTTTCCCAAACTGGCACGCGGATGTCAATTCAGAGGAGAGCGATGTTGAGATTAAGCCATTTCCCTCAAGGGTGGTGTCTCGTGTTGCGACTGGATTTGTGGCACTCGCTTCGCTGTTAACCTTTGTATCCGTATTTTGGCAACATATATCGAGTTCGGCGAGCGTTACGATGCATGAGGAGCTCTATTATGGGGTCGTCAATTCGAGCACCGGAGTTGTTGCTATGGTATTTGGATGGGGAGGGGTTCTTACTTCGTTTCTTGTTGTGATTGGGTTGATTCTCATGATTTTGAGTATATCGATTTTACAAAAACTTAGCGATGACTGATTTGATTTTATCGCTCATTTATGCTGCTTCTTTTCGCTCCTACAAACTTGGAATTATACAGGCCTTTTAGGAAAGTGTGTTGGAGCTAAGGGAGGCCATCTACTTTGGGAAATGTTAGGCCATGTTGAGTCTATAAGAATGTGATCGGAAGTTACGCATGGAATTCTCCTGCTCTATTCACTTTGATCTGGATTGTTCTAGCACTAATATTAAGAATAATCGGAATTGGAATCGCTCACGAATGATGTGATGGAGAATAAGGTTCGGTATATCCAGCGAACTGCAAGACCCAGTATAGTCAATATAACAAGAAATGTCGTCACAGCTGCCTTCATTCCTGACGCTAGATTTCTGGTCCAAATGACTGAAAGCAGTATTACCAGTAGCACAGCGATAGAAACTCCTGCCGCCGTTGGTCGGCCATGGTTCTTCAAAAATTTTGCAATCCGATCCTGGTTTAATGCGATCAGAATAAAAGGAATGGATATTGCCCCGGAGATGCTAACTGTTAGGTATGTTAGATACGTAAAGATTGAGAGGCAGTAAAGGAATTCAGGATATGTTGCGTACACATGTATCTCAAAACGTAATCCATCGGGAGCTTGTCTCCGTTATTCCAAGGAAAAGCATCGATATTAATGGCGAAAAATGCAGCCATAAACGACAGCGGAAGCTAAACTCATCTCGATTAATTTTCTGAATGCATTCAAGGGCGGGAAAGGAAGGAGTTCTCACAAATATAATAGTGACCACGGTGAAAACTAGCACCGTTCTACCTTGTCGTATGGATTCATCTGCCTGCTTGCGGGAGAGGTCAGCATTCTCCAAGCCCCGTTCGGTAAGTTCTTTAGTTGCTTCTGCTTGCATCGACGCATTCTCGGCCTGTTTACGGGCGGACAATGCTTCAGAGACATTGTTTTGTTTCTGCTTCAGATCGAGAAGGTTATAGAGCTGCACAATCATTAACACCCGAAATCTCTTGGTTAAAATCTTATGCACTCACGGCTTTGTAAGTCTGATTCGCGAGCCTTTGCATTTTTTCAACCCGATATATATGGTTCTCAAGTACTGGAAATCGTACTGGTGAGGAATTTTCGTCGTTTACACTCCCATTCTTAATTCTCTTGCGCTCCGCCAGAAATTTGGAAAACTCTTCCAAAGGCATCGTTTGATTACTCAAAATCATGTGCAAAATTCCAAGTTCGTCGATAATATCTTTGATCTCGACTAGCAGCTGTGTTTCAGCGCTAATGCTGAAGACCTCTGAGCTGGCTACCTCACCCTTGCTTGATTGATCAAGTCTACATGCGAATTCCTCAAAACATTGCGTTTCTTGGTCAATCTGTTGATTTCCATCAGTCTGGTTTTGTACTTTCTCAGAAGGGATGAGGCACTCACCACAGCACCAAGAGATCGTTCGAAGAAGTCAAAAAATTGATACTCATCCGGGACGCTGTATTGATCAAATAATCCTATACAAAAGCTGGCAATGAGCTGCGCCAGATCCTGAGCTGACGTGAGAGGATCCCGCGTTTTCAATCCAATGTGGCTAAGTATCATTTGATGAACGTTCAAGGGGTCACGTTTGAGTAATGCTAAACGCCTTTTCTCAATGGAGGCCTGGCCACTGCTACTACTACGCTCATCCGTATATCGATAATGCCGTTCCTGGAGAACTACGGACGCCCTCCATCGTTGTGTTTTAGCATAAACGTCCCTTCTGTTAAACCCCGATTTCGGTTTTTTCCCTGTTACCCAACCAAGCATAAACCCTGATTCACTCATACTTTTATCCCTCACCTTGCCGTGACTAGCGTAGTCGTGTCCATGTCCACGCCCATGAAATTCCGAACGATTAGTTCTAGTTTCTGTATCCGGAAACTGCGGAAGGTCGATAATTATGGGATTAGGTGGGGAGGCTGTTTCGAAATCTGCTTCGGCTGCGGGCGGAGGTTGGCCAGACCAGACATCCCACCGCCGGGGAAAGCAGCTAATAATGGTATCTAAAGTTATGTTAGCCCTCTGAGCAATATATAAATGAAGGTGAAGGTGATAATTACCATCGTTCAGTATCCAAAGCCACAACTGATCTACCATAAAGATCTTAGGCTCTGCGGAATTATCCCGTATGTATCGATAGACCACCTGGCCATCGTCTCTTGCGGTAGTATTGGTGAGATGGGTATAAAAATATTGATCGAGAGTTCTTCTTAGATGAAGGGGTGAGTCTGCGGGGTTCAATGGCGACAAGTACCCTTTCACGAGATGTTCGTCGAAAGGTATCCTAGGCTTTGTGCGTCCGGCACTATTTTTCTCAGTGGTTGCATCCGTTTGTTGACCGACATTTTCGGGAATATTAGGAAAAGTTCCGCGACGTTTGATATCGGGACCAGTCTTGGGTCGGACATCATTTTCTTCTGTTTTATGACCATCAGTACCGGGACGAGTGCTACTACGTTTCGCAGCAGAATCCTCCCCAGCGGGGCCATCCAAAGTCGCATGCGCTCCTCCTGACTGGTCAACAGGAGTCGACACATCCGGAGATTCGCCAACAGGGGAATTCACAGTTTTAGCTACACGAGTTTGTGTATGCGTTCTTGATATACTGATGCTTGGAGATGGTGGATTTTCCGTGGTCAAAAGGCCTGCAGTATTCCCCTCTGCGATATCAACGTTTAGTTGTGTCGGATCTTCCGCACGGGGTGAATTTTGCGTGTCACCGATTGTTTGATTGGTTGGCGGTATTTGTAAAATGCTTGTCTGATCCTCTTCTACCGCGGATATCGAACCCCTGGGTTGTTTACTTCCGCCCAGCACACCACTCCCATCGGAATTGAAATTTCGAGTCACATCTTTCTTTCCAGTACTTGTGGGCACTGTGTCAGCTGCGTCATTTTCGGCGGCTCGACCGTCGTCCTGGACACTAGGTGTACTTTTGCCTTTTTCTACGTCGTCCTGTTGACCCGATGATTTTCGGAATGTCTTAACAACGTGATCTGACGTTTGGCGCACTTTACTACCGAGAGTACGGATAGCTGACATTAAATCTCTGGCCCCATGAAAAATGTTCAGAGATTGAGATGGCTCCTCGGTATCTTCTGTACTGGCGCGATATGAGCTCCTAACAGCTGTTCGTACTACTGGTGGCGGGCGTGACACTCTTGATTGTGTTTTTTTTCTAGCTGGACGCAATGGCGGTGCTTTTGAGGGCGGGCGTTGCTCGCTTCGCATAGCTTTTTCCTTCTCATCTTTCTCATGCTTTAAAAACTCAACCATTCGCTTATAGCCAGCATGTGTTTCAAAGTGGAGAAACGGAATCTGCAAGGCAATTAGTGCATGGGGTGAGAAATTCTAGCAAGTCTTCTAGCTTACGAATAGCATGAGTTGATCTGTTGTGTCGTTTCCTAGGTGCAAGCCAGGGGACTATCACTCACATGTTAGCGACAGGGATAAAGATTTGGAGGTAGAAATGTTATACATTGATGGTTCGGCACAAGGGCCTCATATACGAGGAAAGAGAAGCGGAAGCTCGAAATTGTTGACCAACACCATTAGTTAAGGCAAGTTTTGACTTTGACTCTTCGCTCAGTATTACCGCGCCAGAGTCCCGTTCGCCAAAATGACGGCTAACCAGAATCTGCTCCTTATCAGTTTTGGTGCTTCAATTTCAGACAAAGATGGACACCCGTACCTCAACCCATTCCATCTACAAAATAGTTAGCATGTAATATACTACGCTTGTTCAAGATAGAGCGCTTACATTGTTTGCGGGTAAGTGATACCACCGAAAACTCGGCTGTTTGTCGATCTTTTTTCCTTTTGCAAAATTCATAATTGCCGCTGGCCCTTTCCCGTAGAGTATATCATAAACCGACACTGTTTTCTCGATTCTCTGCTCGGTTCCCTCAACAAAAAAGTCAATGATGGTACCTTCAAATCCCTGGCAGGCTTTCAATTTGTCGGTTTCGTCAGCGGGAAGAACTGGAACCGTATAATGAATCTCCGGTTTAGCCTTGCGTCTTTCGACGGATGGACCTTGCAATACCCTATCCGATCGAAGCAATTCACGCATGAGATCACTGGTTGCTAAATTGTCCACCGTTTTACCATTGTCATCGCGTAAATATTTATTGGCGCCATTCTCCAGTAGGAATTCAGTAATGTCCACGTTGTCGTGTATAACGGCACTGAAAAATGGAGTGTGCCCATCTGGAGTTAACGCGTCGATATCCGCCTCATTTTCTAGAAGGGCCTCGGCAACATCGGCGTGTCCGTTTAATAGGGCCTGGTGAAATGCCGTATATCCAGTTTCGTCATTGTGCGATTCGACATCGGCATTAAAGCGCAATAAAAGATTCACAAACGTTATATTTCCTAGCTCCGCCGCGATGTATAATGGCTTGCTGCCGCTGTGACTGGCAGCTTCGGTGTTAGAACCAGCCTTGAGCAGAAGCTCTGCCAGTGACACACGATCGTTTATCACCGCCAGGTGAAGGGCTGTTTGTCCGTCGCGGTCTACAGCTCTCAAATTAACGCCTTTGTCAAGGAGGAGCCGCAACTCGTCTCCATTTCCTTCGCCCACTACCTCAAGAACTCGCAGACTCTCAGAATCGAACTCATTTTCGAGATCATCTTCACTGTGAGGTTCGTCAGTCGGTCCCAGGTCAACACTTTCCTGATAACTATCAAAACGATCGGGTTCGCTCTCCATATTGGAAGTTAATTCTTCCAGTTAATTTCGTTATCCCTGGACGAGGGAGTTATTCTTAGAGTTCCCTTTCGGTTCTCGAGCGGAGCTTCGTTTTTTTGCATCGAGCAACATGAGCTAGAGGGAATCAGGCTAAACAGCCCACCAGCGTGCGAACCAACCTCTGCAGCTTGCTGCAAGTAGCCGAGACTGCACATCATAATTGGTCATACTTGGGTTCTCAATTTTGGGGGTCGGAAAATTCTATCTCTCGCCGGTGCAGCTGGCGGGCAGCGCGCCATACTGTTGCTGCTTCAGCGGAGATGCCAACGTTCCCCAAGAGTCATTCTAACTACCCTGTGTGAGCTTGAGCTCCAACGGCACTCCCGGCCCTAACTCGCTTTTGAAGTTAGAGACTCTTGGAAAGCAACCACCAATCAGCCTTCGCACCATTCCAATCCGCGTTAACTAGGCGGTAACTTATTGAGCTTTATTAGAGCTAAGGTATTTTCGGGTTGTGTTGTGTTGGCTTTCTCCAATCAGTCCCATTCGACAAATTGTCCGCCCTTCGACATTTCTCCTTCCTCAGGCAAATGATACCCCGCATCCCACTGCTCTCCAGGGTGGGAGAAGGGGAAAATATTTGTGCAGTGATCAAAATGGGCATTCATTTTAAGTCATGACATTTTTTGAGTGAGTCTTTTTTGAATAAGAAAGTACCCCAAGAGGCAGACAGGCGGCCGTGCATGTACTCTCTACTACTCTTTACGGGCAATTAACAAGAGACCCCTCTTTCTGAGCTTGCGAAATCTGAGCCTTAGAAGCTTCAAATGGCCCCTGATCTGAAAAAGACTATCAAAATCGCCGCTGTCCAGGCGGCACCGGTATTTCTTAACCGTGCTGGAACCACTGAGAAAGTGTGTCGCCTCATCCGCGAAGCTGGCGAGAAGGGGGCAGATGTTATTGGATTTCCTGAAGGCTTCATCCCCTGCTTCCCATCATGGGTTGAGATTCTTCCCCTGGTCTCTGAGCCAGCCCTCTCTTTGTACCGCGAATTCTTCCACGAAGCCGTCGAGGTTCCCGGGCCAGAAGTAAGCGCAATCCAAGAAGCATGTCGAGATGCCAATATATATGCCGTCGTGGGCATCAACGAGAGACGTGCAGGCAGCACTGGTACACTCTTCAACACGCAATTGATGTTCGGGCGCGATGGCGAGCTGCTGCACAAACATCAAAAATACGTGCCAACCATCGGAGAGCGGCTGATCCACGCTCCTGGAGCTACCGGAAGTAAAGCTTCCGTACAGACCGATTTTGGCTGTCTGAGCACTCTCATTTGCGGTGAGAACGGGAATCCCCTGGCGATCTACTCCCTCTCCCTCGACTATCCGATCGTGCATGTGGCCTCATGGCCAGCCCACTTCGGCCCAAGCATTGCCCCGGATGATATGCAGAGGAACATCTTGCATCTTGACGTATAGTGGAGGACTGGCAGCCTCACTCTCTTGTTTCGTCATCAACTCCGTCGCAGTAGTTTCCAACGAGGCCATTGACGCGTATGGCGGCGACGAGGCAGGGCGTAAATTCCTGCACAAACATCAGGAGAAGACTGACCGCGCCACAATCCTTGGACCCAACGGCTCCATAGTTGCAGGGCCATTTGAAGAGGCCCAAGAAGGAATTCTCTACGCAGATGTCAGTGCAAATGATTTGGTGATTCCGAAATACGTTACAGACTATGCTGGACACTATAATCGCCCGGAGCTCTTTGCCCACCATTTCGCGAAGTATTTTGAGAACGGACAAGGCAATGAGGCAACTCAGTCTTGACTTTTATGTTTTCTGTATATTTCAGCGTTATATTCGCATGATCTTGCGCTCTAGATCTTATGGTATAATAGACATACATAGTTCAAGGGGGTTTCCATTCGTGGAGCTGCTGGACATAATATGGATTTAACCATATGTAAATGTGTATTGATTAGGAAGGCATTCTCTTAATATATGGAACAAAAGGGACTTCCATATTGTAGTTATATGATTATATCATTGGAAAGTGTTTGGTACTTACTGCTCAGGATAAAAAAGCATTCATAGGCACAAACCTAGAGGCTGTTATTTAAACAACCAGAGGCCCAGACAAACGTTTTGCCCCACCAAAGCACACCCCGCAGTAACTAGTTGTTAGTTACTTGTTCACCGACAACAGTACAGTACAGCGAACACACTCAACATCTAGCACAACCCCCTTGACTCTGCCATCACTACGGCTTTTTTCCCCCAATAGTCTGTCTACCTTTAAAACCTCGTACCAGGCGACCATTCGAATCACATATTTCAGCGCGAAAATAGCAAAAGGAGGAGAATATAAGCACAATGACCGAAGCAGCAGCCGTCTACCCTCCCCTTGAGGCCAGGCCGCTCAAGAACACCATTTGCCTCTTCGATGTTGATAAGACATTGACTCCAGCGAGAGGGGTGAGTACGATTGCTTTTATATGTTTTCCCTCAATTCTGTTCCTCATGTTACGTTCCCATGTCCTGGGAAAGTTTGGTGACATGCCAGGCACTGACAACATTTTGCGCTCCGCTCGCTCTTATCCAGACCGTTTCACCTGAAATGCTGCAGTTGCTCTCGCAATTAAGACATAAATGCGCCATTGGATTTGTAAGTTACGCCCTTCTCCGGCACATACAACTATACCAGAGACATAAAAACCCGGAAATCATTTGCTTTCCCATGTACTCGAACCCTACTTCCTAACCACTTGGTACAACTCCCTAGGTGGGCGGATCCAACCTACCCAAGCAACAAGAACAACTAGGCAGTGCCACAGTCGATGTTACCTCCCTCTTCGACTTCTGCTTTGCAGAAAATGGGCTCACGGCCTATCGCCTAGGCAAACCCTTGGACTCCAACAGCTTCATCAAGTGGCTGGGCGAGGAAAAGTATCAGAACCTCGTAGACTATTGCCTGCGATACATCGCCAGCGTGAAGCTCCCGAGGAAGCGAGGAACGTTTGTGGAATACAGAAATGGAATGGTCAATATTAGTCCTGTGGGAAGAAGTGCGAGCGCGGAGGAAAGAGATGAATTCGAGGAGTATGTGTTTCCCTTCTTGGTTGCCAGTCAGCAGGGGGGGAGGACGAAATCAAGTCTCCCAGTCCAACATCTCCCCGTGGAGAAATACTTTTTTCTTGTTATTTTCATGCTAATCTACCTGAACAGATATGACAAAGTACACAACATCCGGAAAAACCTCGTGGAGGGTCTGAGAAAGGAATTTGCCGATTACGGCCTTACGTAGGTTCTCTCCGCTCCCAACCCACTAATCTCGCTCCATCTACCCTCCACCCGTCATCTCCAACCCTCTAATTTCATTCTTTTAACATCTACCACCATTTAGCTTCTCCATTGGCGGCCAAATATCCTTTGATGTCTTCCCCACCGGCTGGGATAAGACATACTGTCTACAACACGTTGAGGCGGAGAAAAATATAAGCGGCGTCGAGTACACCACCATCCACTTCTTCGGCGATAAGTGCTTCGAGGGAGGAAATGATTATGAAATTTACGTAGACCCTCGGACCATTGGGCATGAAGTCACGGGCCCGGATGACACAATGAAGCAGCTGAGAGAGCTCTTCAACCTATAAGGGGAATCAAGGACTCGTGGGTTGGAAGTGTTTGTTGGGTAAGTATTGAAGGGGGTAACTATATATGCAAGATATCAACATAGAGACACAGATTCCCTGCAGCAAGCTACATGTGCATTATGACGATTCAGCGAGAACGTTAGACCGATTTCCTTCATATCTCATGGCACTTCCAGGTCTTATGTGATTGGGAGCAAGCTTTTTGGAGCATTTTCGATATGGGGACACTTAACGCTCCTCATTTCAATATTCCCCCAAGTACACGAGAAATAGCCATGTGTAGAGGGGGACATATCCATCGTGTTGTTTATACGTAGTTAGCGTAGTAATATCATAAACAAAGTTGTAGTTATTCAAAATATGGAAATATTTTTCGGCACTGAGATAGTAAGATACTAAATAAACACCTTTTATTTTAATTGTAGCAAAAGAGTTGCACTATAAAAACCAGAACTTCTTCATTGCGTTTGAAGTGATTCTCGGGATTGACATCACATCGGCAGCACAGTTGATCGTGGGTTCAAGTTTGGACTTTGAGTTCATTTAACTCCCATCTATAAAGCTGTAACTACACGTTAATAACCCGATCTTACCACGCCCAACACTCGGTTTGGCATGGACAGGATGGCGTGCGAAAATGCATATCGAGTAGTCTTATTAATTATTAACTACTAGGTTGAACGGAGTGGCTAGGTAGTTAGTTAACTATCATGTGCCCATTTTGGCTGGTGCCGATGGTTTTTCCGGCCGAGAATTCAACACACGTATCGGCGCTGCTCGGCGGAAACATCGCATGTCATCATCATCATCATCATCCTCCCTTCCCCCACTCAGAAGAGATTCACAATTCAGGCTGCTTACACGCTTTGGGTTTCCTTCACCATGAACACGGCTGCAAGCCGAAGCCATAACTGATATACTCTTTTCAACCTCTTCTGTCCGTAGGCCATGGCAAACTCAAAGCAGGTCATCAAACCCCCTCGATTCCTCCTCCAACCCCTAGCATGGAATTCATCCTCCTCCACCATCATAAATCCACAATTAGTGACAATTGGATCGTCTCCGGGCTTATCTTTACACCTTTATGCCGCGAAACCACAGCCACAATCAGTTCCCAGCCGATCGCTACACACCTTGCCAGCACCTCCGCGACAACCCCCGTCCCTATCACTCACCTCTCGCCCCTATCTTACGTCCATAACCAAAACACCCCCGTCCTCGACAAACTCCCACAATGATACCCACGCCGCTCCAATAAGACATAATGGCGTGTACGTGGCGGTATTCAAACCTGCCCGCCGCGCATTCCATACCACGCCGGCCAACCGACGGGACCACCACTTCGACACTTTAAAGATTGTCCAACGACTCAAAGGTGAAGGATTCAGCGAAGAGCAGGCGGTGGCATTAATGCGGGTGCTGAACGATGTAATTGAAGAGTCAATTCAAAATTTGACCCGAACTATGGTTCTAAGAGAGGGTGCGGCTCCGACTCACTCCCTAAACCCCCATCTACCTTGTAATTTTCGTACTGGTTTGCCCGGATGCTCTCTCCCAGGACCTTTAATTCTAACTCCAATGCGCATCGTAATACAGACTCCGAACGGTCCACTTATACCCAAAAAGTCGACTTCGCCAAACTCCGGTCAGAACTCCTAAACTCCGACTCCACCGAAACACAGCTAACCCGCGCATCCCACGACCGCATTGCGGGTGATATCCAGAAGCTAAACTCGCGCCTCCGCGATGAAATAGGCCGCACACAGGCGTCCGTAAGACTAGATTTGAACCTGGAAAAGGGCCGGATCCGTGAAGAGGCCAATGGGCAGGAGATGAGAATCAAGGAGACGGAAACGAGAATCGAGCAGGAAGTTGCTGGCCTTCGGGAGAGGGTGGAGGCGGTTAAGTTTTCGACCCTTCAATGGCTGATGTATGACTCCTTCGCGCATCTGTTATTACATATCTTATTTAAACCATCGCGATTTTTGCTGACTGGGAATTATTCTTTTGTTCCTACAGGGGTGTCTGTACAGGTACGGCTGCACTAATTCTTGGTGCTTGGCGCCTGTTGATGTGAAGTAACCCTGGAGGCATTTCGGGTCGAATACTCGACACTACCATAATGTTATTCCCTTTCGTGAAAGGGTATCGGGGAATTTCTAAAGCCCGGGTTGCTTGTGCGAAATTCAGCATTGATATTATTTCTCACTGAGCTCATAGAACATCTCCTATTACACCAAAGCATAGATCAAAACACACTCTTGACAACCGATATTTCCTTTGTTCATTCGAAAAATGTATATACTATGACTCCTCCAAAATAAAAAATTAAAATTAAAAATTAAAAAAAATAACCTACAATCCAACGGCTGATCAAATGATAATAAATTCTTGCTGTACCAAGTGTCCTCTATCTACTTTTAGATAAATGGGAGATAATCTAATTTCTATGATATGACGCATACCTAAGAAATCACAGCTCATGCCTCATTCCCGTCTAATCATCCCAAGACCCAACTAATCTCCCGTCCTTCTTATTCAAAAGCGGCGCCCCCGAGTGGCCCCAATACGTCCACGCATCAAGCTTCAACGTACCGATTTCCGAGTTATCGCACGGATCTTCGCCGGGGATCATGCCCCTACTGCGTAAAGGCGCCGTGAGATATCTCTACAAGGCCGTAATCGGTTTTCCGGTCTGCTGTTGTACCCCAGATCCTCGCTGCCCGGTTGGCCGATGCAAATAATCGGCGTATTCAATGAGGCCTACAGATGAAAACGAACAGCCGTGATTACGATTATCATTCCGCTTATATGGTCATTATTAGTTAATAATTGTACTGAGCGCCATCTGATTCAACAGCGATGATCTTTAAAAGCACCAGGTCGCGCTTCATGTCCCAAACACGACATTCGGCCTGCACGGCTCGTTCCGTCATAGAAGAGCAGCCAGCGCGTTTTAGGCGAGGTGCGATATTCCTCCTCCGTGTCGCCGAAGCAATGAGCGCAGGTTATCACCCAGCCAGCCGGATGTAAATATGCAGACTGCAGTTCCGGCCTCGTGCTGGGCGAAGATTAGGCTAGCTTCAAGGGCGTTTCGGAGGCCGTGGGCCTGATACTGAGGCGTGGTTTGATTGGGATGTCCTGGGAGAGGCGGAGTTGCTTTTTACGGAGGAG